ACGAGTGCAGACGTGTTTTCTAATTTGAAGAAAAAGATCTCCCCCCTTCACAGAGATAATTCAGGTTGTTAAACTTGGCGTGTAAACATAAGGAGACGAAAGCGTCATAAGGCCTCTCGTTCTCGGCGAGCGCGTCGTCGCCGAGCGTTTGAGGTAATCAAAGCTGAGGGTTGGGGCAGATGGTGTTTGGAGGGGTGGTGTACCGGAAGGACAAGTCGCTGTTGACTTAGTGGGAAACGGTGGGAGGGGGTGACTGACACGCCACCCAGCCCACATGACTCAGTGGGAGTCATTACGGCAATGGGCCTAATTACCTTCAGGCCTAATCTGTGTTTAAAAACCTGCTGCTTGTCGCGTTTGATTGCCCACAAGTGTTGGGGGAAGATTGAAACGCAAGGTCGCAGCATTAGTTCGGTCTATGCTTTTGTGTGTGCGCGTGAGGGAGAGAAAATGCATGCAGGGCTTCCTTCGACATGTTCTATTTTCAAGCTTTGGCTGAATAATTGCAGCGTCGCCCTGCACTTCCTGGACCTTTTCACACAGAGCTTTTACTGCGCTCGTACTCTAAAGGACGAGTTTGTTTGAAGGCCAATTTACTTTCCTTCTGTTTTTTCAAAGCTTACACCTTCGTTTATGATGTAACCCAGATAGATGGACTACTGTTGCCTGAGAACTAAACTACTCTCCACCTCATCACTTAAGGCAAGATGAAAGAGAATGGATTTTATATATATATATATATATATATAATAAATATAATCCATAGCCGTGTCGTGGTTATTGGATGATTTGAAGGTTGTCTTCCTGGCCTCTCCGGTTGCGCTCGGTCAACGCTTCTCGCGCCGCGCTGGATTTGGGAAGCGGGAGGTGAAGGAAGTTGCGAGCGTCCCACGTCGGCAGCCTCAGGACGTGTTTTCCGGCGCATCAGCTGCTTTCGAGGGGAGAAAGGCATTCATCGCCTGCTGCAGCACACAAACTGTGATGTTCCAGACAGCTTACAGCTGTTCCGTGGACGTGTGGACGAAGCTAATTTACAAAAATAACAACATGATGTAAAACATGACATTTATCCCCCACACTGTAAGCCAGGAGTGGAAACAGATTCCGAGGGTGTTTGTTGTAGAACAACAAACCACAAACCCCAATTCATTCAGCCATAATCCCCGGTGCGTTTTCTTCTGAGACGTTACTGTGGAAATACTACAGTCTGCTTGGCTAAACCCCGGAAATTGTTTACTCCTCTTTCCAGCCTATTTGTTTCCTCCAGTTTTGTTTTACCTCCGTGATGTGCCACACATACAGAGGGGGGGCTTCCCCACTCGTGAAGCTGATCCGACTAATCTGCTTCCCGTCACGAACAATGAGGCTTTTATTTTTAGAAGGAGTAAAGATCGAACGCAATTTTTATATTTTTTGACAAAAGGTTTCCCATTTTATACAACGATTAGCTAAAAGTACATTTGTTGATGCAGTCTACTTACACTACATATAATCTTAATTATACATGCAATGCTATCAGAGTTGGAGTCGGATGCAGGTAAAAAATGTTAATATTAAGTTAGAAGAGCTGACGCTGACTCTGCATTCTTTTTCTAAATGTGGTTATGCACCTCCTCTCTGTCGTGGACTAACATCATACCCTTTAAGACTCACGTCACCCCGCTGGGCCTAAATGTAGGTTTTTGGATCAAAGAAACGCTGGAGAATGTCACATGGCTGAAATACACTGTTTTGTCAATTCGTATACTTCTTAACATCTTAACATGTTTCGTCTTTGATTCATAACACGGCGGGCAATGACACACCTGTGATGCTGAATGATGCTCTTCCTTAGCTCACTGTTTGTGCTGTTGAGTCACCCAACCTTTCACGTTGACCGAGTTGCCTTCAGTCCAATGCACTGTTGTCTCTCCCTGTTACAGAACCGTCGGTGTAAAGCAACGCGCCACAGGCAACGGCACATTATTAATGGGTTTAGACAAGGTGCCCGTGCACACGCTACCTCTCGTGGTGCAGAGGATGTTTTTGGCTCGCCTTCCACTTTGCAGGGTTCACGCAGAGCTCCTTTTGGTTCAGCAGAAGCAACAAGGAGGAAATAAATAAATTCACGCCGAGGCCTTGCGAGCGTTTCGCAGCAAATGCTGGAGTCTGATTTCACACACAACGCGTTGCCCCTGCCACTCACTTCCCCTGCAGTTCCGTTTCTCTCTTGTTTATTTACCTCGGCTTAGTGAAACACGTTCACGGGCAACTAACCGGGGCTGTAAACGGGTGGTGCACGCTTCCCTCCGAAACATCAGCTATTAGCGGCAGATGCCTGTTCCCCGAGTCGAGGTGCATCTCTCAACATCTCATTGCCGGTCTTCATTATACTTATTCTGCCTTCCGTTTTCACAGGGTTAGGGTTAGGTTAAGAGGCAGAGAGAACAAGGATGCAGGTTACAGGTGTTTTTCAGTAAATGTGCATTTATGGACACGTGATCAATTGCGTAACCTTTTCTAGAAGATGTTGAATAGTACAAAACCTGAACAGTGGGTTTTGGGAGACGAGATCCGGCAGCTCGGCAGTGGAAGTCGTGAGCTACACTTGCATCGAATTAACATTTTCATAATTGATTAGTGTATTTTGAGAAGTTGATGAATAATTTAGTTGATTTAATGTAAAAAACAAAGTCTGTAAGGATCTTTACTTCAAGCGTTCCCAAAACGCATCTTTGAGTTGTTTGCTTTGATGAATCAGCACATGAAACAAAGGTGCAAACCACTTGCAACAATGATGAAAAACAATGACTATAAAATCCTAATAATTGTGTAAACCATCATATAATAAGAGTTTAAAAAATATGCGTTTCATAAATAACAGTTTTAAACTGTAATTGTTGGGAACCGTTTTAATCTTTCACACGTGGCACCAAAACACCAAACTATGGTTCCATTGTTTCACGTGTCATTGGATAAAACCACGCGGGTTATTAATGAACAAACACAAGGCAGAAACAGAATTGCGTCGCGTGCATCCTGCCAAAAAAATCTCTATGTCTGGCGCCGTGCACAAGCCATCCTGTTAAACACTGCACTTTATTAAACATGCCAGGGGGGCAGAAGGCCACGCAAAACAATATCGTCATCGGAAAAACGGGAGCAATTATTTCCAGTGACGGAGCCAGATGGTGTTGATTTCATGGCTCCGTGAAATCATTTTTGTTCTTCACTAGAAAAAGCGCACTGATCACAGAATTCAGGACCGGAGAGAGGCCCAGCAGGTGGAGTCTGTCTGACTCACTCGGGTACCACGGTTGTCTGCGCTCTGTGAGAAGATCGCCTCACTCGGGACGTTATTGAACCGTATTAAATAAGGAAAGAAACAAAACCAAAAACTTTAAAAATCTTTAAAACAGCTTTTCAAAAGAACGCGAGCGGGTTGTTTTTTTTTTCCTCCGTTACTGGGAGAGAGCTGCATGGGAAGTGGGATTACCTGTGCGGGGGGGGAGAATCTCTACCCAGATTACGCGTGTTTCCGTATTTAATCCCAGACGAAAGGACTCTGCCGTCCCCTCAGGCTGTCGGCAGGTATCACCTCACTCAGCATCACCGGCGACGACGGCGGGGCTGCGTGAATTTGCATGTAGGGATGTTTGAAACATGGGGATTAGTCAGGGCTTTCTAAGCACATCTTAATCCATACATACACAATATTTATATTTATAAAGAAATAGTGTGTGACAGTCATAAGTTGCATTTAATGTCTCGCTTTACCGCTTTAATGCTGTCGAGTGCATTGTGGGAGATAGAGAGCAGCGGCCTTTGAAGTCCGTCGGCTCCTATATCCTATTTAATATCAACATATGTGTTTGTCCGCTCGATAATCCCTCTCCAAGCTGCAGCCCTCTGAATGTTGGACCAGCTCTCCTGCTGTAATCCCGCTCTTGTTTTTATTATCATTGATGGGAAAACTTTAGTTTTCACTCGGATGCGTGCTGCTGTCATTTGTTTAGAGGGATGTGTGTTTTTTAGCCACCATTTAGGGGGCCAGAACAGCAAACAGAGGGGACGTTGTTGAGTGTTTAGCTCTCCGTGACGGAGCAACAAGCAGAAGCCGAGCGGAGTGAGTCACTGTTTGCATCGGTGCAAACCCGTCCGCATCAACGCTGCATCAAAAGTTTCGTTTTTTTTTTCCCATTTAGTTGCGACGTCACACAGTTGGGGCATCTCGGAACATCAAGGTCAAATCCTCAGGAGGGCGGTGAGGACTAATTTCATGCTCCAGCAGCACTTAAATAATGTATCCGACTTCAAAATCCATCCCAAGACTGGATGAGTGTCCATAATATCTCCTCTTTAAAGACCACATGCGAGTGTAATGCACATCCGTGCCAGGAGATTACTCAGTAAGAAGTTTAAGAAACCTTGCGGTTATTATTTTACTGCTTCAATGTCATCGGCAATTTATAGTTTTGATATAAAAAAAAAAAGTTTCCCTTTTGTTTTTCCCGTTCCGCTGCCTCTTAAAAATTCCTCTCTGCCTTTCTTCTGAGGGGCTGGATGTCTCTTCTTATCACACTAACTGTATTTCTTCCCGCCCCACTTATTATTCACGGCGGCGGCGGCGAGGAACACGGTAAGCCTCAAAAGAAAAGCCTCGGTAGTGATAAAACACTCGAATCAAACCCTCCTCCGATGTTTTTTGAGGAAGCCTTCTCATCCTGCTCGGCTCCGATCCGCGACTTTGACCTCACAGAGCGGCGTCAGTCGCCACCATCAGGGGCGAGGACGACCTTTCAGCAGCGCCGCGCCTCCTCAAGCCTCAACCAGTGTGTCTCATCTGCGTCGTTGTTGCCTGTTTGGACCTTGTCGACAGTTTGAAGAGCTCAGTTTGTCCTCGTCTGTGAGGATTTTCGAGTTTCAGTCGAATTGGAGGGAATTAGCGGACGTTCAGCTTCTGATGTCCATCGAATGAATCTCTAACTCTGCGTTTCTCCTTCTCCTTTCGTCTCCTGCAGGAAATCCAGGATGGCCCGCGGGATGCGCCGCCGCGCTTGGTAGAGCTGCGCAGACGTTCACGTCCGTTTGCAAACGACATGATGTAAACGGATGCATCTTTCTCTTCGTTTAAACCTTCAGCTTTGGGCCATGAGCCTGAGCGGATCTACCTGGGCCGCCGTTTCCCTGGTTTGGACTTAGAATCCTCTTCTGCTGGGACCGCCCCACGCAGCGGCGGCCAGCCGTGCCGCCGGGAACACGGGGGGGGGGAGATAACTTTACAAAAGCACGCGCCACCATGAGGATGTCGGCCACCTCCTGCCTCTGTCCCTTCCTGGTGTGCCTCTGTTTCATCCAGAGGTGCTGCGGGGCGAGCCACCACGTCTCCGCCAAAGTGCCCTCCAAGAACCAGACCAAACTGGCCAACGGGGAGACGGAGGTGCACCACCGGCCGAAGCGCGGCTGGATCTGGAATCAGTTCTTTGTTTTAGAAGAGCACTTGGGACCAGAGGCGCAGTACGTGGGAAAGGTAGGTTCCCGTTCTTTCAATGTCTCACTTACGGTCGTTTCTCTCTCTCGCCTGTTGAAATGTGCCACATCGGGGCCGAGCTGTTCTCTTGAGGTCGATTGCCGTCGTCATTGCGCACATGTTTTTTTTTTGTGTGGAAATTCAGTTCCTCCCATGATTATGCCCACGACATGTCTTATTTTCTGTATTTAGGGAGTGGCCCTTAGGACTCTCTCACCTATGATGAGTAGATGAGGTCTGAGAGTGAGAAAATGTCACTATTACCTATCTTTGAACAGGAATATAAAACGTGCTCTCCCTGGGAAATTGAACCCAGATTCGATCTCTTTGTGTAAAATGAACCACCGCAGTTGTGCAAAAGGGGGTCTGTCCCTTATAGGAGAAGCCACTGGTGGGGTACGGGGCTCGTCCCGGTGGTGGAGACTCCTCTCTTAGCCCCACAATAAGCCAAAGGGAGCTGGTTAAGTCATCTGCTTGCAGATTGCCTGCCCTTATCTCCTGAAATGTTAAAATGTGTTTCTCCGCTGCGGTGATCATTATTCTAGGCACTCGGGCACAGACTAATCCCCTCAACTGCACTCCGAAGGAGAAGGAGAATGAGAAAGGCAGAACGCCCCTCTGACTGCATATTGGTCTGCATTTCAACAACGGCTGCCATTTGAAGGGAAAATGAGAGAAAAGAGGGACGACATGCTTGGAAAAATGGGCAGAAATGGAGAAAAAAAAACTGTAAATATCACTTCCCCATACTGTTTTAATCACAAATCTCCTTGCGAAGCAGGAAAGAAATGTTATCTACCGGTGAAACGTGTTTTAGCCAATATTATTTGACGGATGAATGCGCCACAAATTCCCCCAGTGCAAACAACAACAATCCCTCAGCGTTTGTGTTAAGACAATAAAGACATTAGACATTCGCAGCATATTCAAAGCGCCACGTCACCGTGTTTCCCACTGAGACGATCTTTGAAGATCACAATCGGTCGGTCTGTCGGCTGGTTGGCCGATGTTACAGGTTCTACTCTGACATTAAGGGTGTTGTTGTTGTTGTTGCTGGGTGTGTGTGTGTGTGCGATGAAAGCAAAACAAACATAAACAGCTAATCCTGGGTGATGATGAAGCGCTGAGAAGACACATAAACATTATTAAGGAATCAATTTGACATGCATGTTTAAAGAGATGAGTCTCCAGATGGTTAGCACAAAAAAAAAAAACATTTAATTATGTGGGTTGGGACTTGCGTGCAGTGTCCTAATGTGGCCATGAGACAGAATGACCCTTAATTAGACGAAGACAGGCGAGGAGGAGGAGGAGGGGGAGGAGGGGGAGGATGATGAGGGGCAGGATTAATGCATTCCGCCCTTACGGCTCTATATTGTTTTTTTTTTTTCCCCTCCTTCCTTTGCTTGATTAAAAACTGTGGACATTAGCAAGCAGCGAATGAGCAGCTCCACTGGGGAATAGCCAACGCAGTCTCTGTCGATTATTGCTCTCCATGGAAACCGACTGTTCTGGATAAGAATGTGAGGGACGCTGAACACGTAACACGGAGCTGTGAACAATCGCGTGGTTAACATAGAGAGCACACGTTTTCTCAGGTCAAACGTCACACCGGCGCCGCGTCTCGTCGTTGGCAGTCGGTTGTGTTTCCTGCTCTCGCATGAAGCACATCGTGGAGTGACTTCTGTGAATGAGGGAAGCAGCCAGTCTTGTCAAGAACGCTTTTAATCCCCTTGAGGTATCCCATAATCCCCAGTGACACCTGTCTTGGGAGGCGGGCGCATTGGGGCAGAATGACAGCTTTGTGCATGAGTGAGACGCAGACGCTCGGCCGGGGACAGGGTCCTTGTCCAGATGCCAGGAGAGAACCCGAAATGTCTCCACGGCGACCGGCTCAGAGTGGCTCCTCGAAGTAGTCGGGCGGGTTACGGAGCCGCATGGGAATTTCTAGAAGGCGTCGCAAATCCCCGGAGCCCGAAGGAATGCCTCCGATGGTCTGCTGGTGCTCGGTCGAAGGACGCGATGGACGCGATGGGCATCCTTGACTTAAGCCCCGCCTTCTCGCTGTTCTAGTGCGCGGTAAATTAAAGGCGAGATTCGAAGTAACACCCTCCCTGGTTTTATCGCGCGTTCTTTGGCAGGGCCGAGTAGATCCCTCCCAGAAAGGTGCCTAGATGTTTCATTCGCACATTTAAAATGGGATTGCGCGGTGACGGAATCCGGCAACCGCCTTGTGTGCACAGTCATGGCTCAACAGTGAGAGAAAAAGCACGACAACAAGATGCAGCGAGCTCTTATTTCTTTTCATCCACTCTTGCAAATTGGAATGTTTTCAGCCTCAAACTGAACCGAGGTGTTACGTGAACATCTCACAGTGAACGTCACATTATTAGCCTGCGCAGTTGGAGAGAGGAACATCGTGAGAATGTTAGATATCAAATTAATAATAACATATCGACCACTGCTGAGGGTGGAGGACCGCCATTGCTTCCAATGCCGGCGGGCGGACGGACCCTCTGGGTTTTGGGGACGTCCACGCGTCCGTTCGTCTGTCCCATTCTCGAGGGAATCTCTTTGGAGTTTGGAACAACGGCGGTCTTGGACACAGGGACGCGTCGCGGCATCGCTGTCGCCGACTGACGGGCGGCGCCAACCAGCTGGTGTGAGCCAGCAGAAGGTCCGCTGTCTGTGCAGGCATGCCTAAATACGTCCTAAGTGCATTCCCCTGTCCTCTGGATGAGACGCCGAAACGTATTAGCGCCGTTTTAGACACACGGGACTCGCTCGCTCGGCAGAGCACGAGGCGACGTTTTCCTCCATCCTGCACCAAATATCACGTTTTTATTAACGGTTAGAGAGAGAGACGCTAAATGGGTGTCAGAGTTGCCCCCCGGGACACTAATAATCTCATTACTGTACATCAAGAAGTCAACCGTCCTTCTGGGGGGAGACAACGATTCATTCTGTGTCAAAATAGAGGACATCTATCGGGGCGGATCTCTCTCTCCGAGACGCACGCGCGCGGGAGGGCCGCGTCTTCGCCGCCGTCTCTTGATGCATGGTCATTAGGCGGGCTCTCCATCATCAAGGCTCACTGTGACTGTTGCAAATCAATCCAAGGGAAAGGGGGCACTTGGTGGAGTTGATTGGGAGGGACCACGGTCAAAATGTGGTGATAATCAGACAATCAAGCACGCCCACATAGAAAGTGATTAAGTCCTCTTGAGTGGAGTATGAGGGCCGAGATTTAATCAAGAATGCCCCCCCCATCACTAATTGCAAATATGAAGCCCAGGCACGGATCATCAGCTAGGGAGCCCAGCCTGCCTTTTTTTTTTTGTTCTCCTTTCGCGGTGCATATTGTTCATTGTTGATGGAATCAATGGCCAAAACAACCCCGACTCATCAGCAGGCCGTTCAACACGCGCTGCAGTTTTAATGAACTCCCCCTGAATCCGACGTGAATATGAGGGCGGTTTGTCTGATGACTGGAGTTATGGAATCACTAGAAAGGATCCGTCCTCGGCGGTGAGTCATCGCCAGGATTTCGGTCGGAAAGCCAACGTGCTCTTAGCTCGGCGAATAAACGTCGCGGTTTTGCTTATTGACAGCGAGCCGCGTCCAATGCAGAGAAATGATAACACACAGCCAAAGAAGACATTTTTTAAAGTCTTGACTTGCTTGGTCATTCAGTTTGCGCCCAGCAGACAGTGATGCATGTGTTGAACTCGCTGTAAAATGATGAATAAATCAGCAGGGGATCGATGAGCTCAAATTCTCACTGTTCTCATGACGTCTCCCTCAACTTCTCTAATATTCATTAACTAGGTTTCCCTAAGTAGAATTTGCCGGATTATATTGTATAAACCTAGCGTGCTTTGTTTTGCCATATAATATGTGTTTTGCCTGGTATACAATTTGATCCAGTATTCATGACAACTGTCCCATTAAAAGTTTGAAATAGCTCTCATTCCTTTCCTTCCTGGCGTCCTCCTTGTTCTCTCCCGCCGGTGAAGCAATGTTCTTTTTTACAGGAGCAAACAAGGCGGGCCGGGCACATCTGCACGGCAAATAACCGATAATGTAACCCACGCGGGTACATGCCTTATTCAGATTTGTGCTATTGAAGAGGACAAAAGCAGGTGCAGAAGAAGAGGAAAGAAGTGCACGAGGCAAACAGGCCACGTTGTGCAGCAATTTGTAAGGTGTCAGGATGCCACTCAACAGAAAGTACCCTTCGCCGGTGCTGTGAGACAGTGAACATCGAGTTACACGTCGTGCACGCGTCTTCCAAAAGGGGTTATATACTCCACGGTCCATTCAACGCTCATTAGAAGATTACGTTTTAGCGACTCAACCGGAAATGGGAAGACTTTTGTATGATTTAGTATTGAAATGCAGTATTTTTGGCCACCATGCTGGATGTTTTATTTTCTGGCATGAAATAGATCATCGTCATGGCGACTACAGATCCAAACCAGGACTGAATCTGGTCATTGCGCGTGTTCTTTAAGGTAGCTATGAGGTTCGACGTGATGAGGATCACAAATCTCAAACCTCCTCAGATTGTATCACAGATCAGCTCAATAGGACCTGTAGAGAGATTCCACCTGCACAGAATGCAGCAACAAACCAATATGATTAATATAATACATCCAATCCCACAATCTGCTTATCTTTATTTTATTCAATCATTTTCTGTTATTTCTGATATGTTATACTGATGATATGTTATATTAAGTCTACATTTGTTGATTAATTCATAAAAATACATCACAGTAATATTCATTCATCTGGAATAATACGATTTATAGATACATAATCTATCAATGAGAAAACTAGTTTTGGGTAAATTCCCCTGGTCGTACAGGAGCTGCTTACAGCTTCCATTTCTATTCATCAGTAGTAATTTTTCCCCTCAATTACTGATTAAATAACTATAATTTTAAAGTTTGATTCAATTTGCCACCCGAATTCTATTTGATATGATTACATTAGACACCACATGGGTGAAGGTAAATACCCGTGTGTTGATTTGATATAGCGGTCAGGTTAGCAGTAAAAGTCTGAAGGAGGCTGTTTTGCCTGCGAACACCAATTAGCTTGTGAACACAGACGCCGTAAGACTCCTCTCTCGACGACGCGTACGCGCAGCCCAAACAGTGGAAACACGTTGACAAAAGAAAGCGAAGATCCACTTCCTCCCGGGTTGTTCCTCCGGGCACACGGTGGAATTATAAGTGAGTTTTCTCCTTGAGAGAGGAGTGTTTTTCTTGGCTGGCGGCTTTGCAGCCCCAGACTCCGTTGATCTCTTTAAACTCCTCAGAAATGCATTGCCAGCTGCCAGCCGCCCGCCACACGCCGCTCCTCCGCTCCGCCGCTCTCTTTAATAAAGTCGGCCGCGGAGACGGAGAGATGAACGCAATCCCTTTTTCTGATGACCTGCGGAGGAAAATGATTCCTCCGCAGTCTGTGTGGGGAGACGGCAACGCAACGAGATCACCTTCATCAGTGTGTTGGACGCATCACATTCAACACGGAATCCATTGAAAAGGACGTTATTGACATTTTCTCTCCCTTCCAGATTGGCCAACTCTCATCGCTTTGCTCCGCGGTGCAACAACATTGACAATGTTTGAAAATGTTGGATTTTCATTCCTACTGTGTGTAGGACACGTCCGCATCGGACAGAACGGACCATAAATATCACCTAACACACCTGGAAATGCTCCCATTCAAGTGTGAATCCTTCTCACTCCTCTCCGGTTCCAATGACGAGAATCCTCGAGCCATGAGCTCCGGCTCAGTCGGCCCGGCGCCGCTGTACATTCAGCTTGTCGTGTTTGGGTAATGACCCGTCGACAATTTTATTACCTAAAGATTTTGGAAGGCAATAGTAGCCACATGCATCATTGGTTCGCACTGCCGAGCGTGATTCATCGGCTGCTGCAAAGGAAGTCAATGGCGAAATTAGCACTCTGACCGGAGGCGACGTTCCATTTGTGAGATGGAGCTGTGGAGTGCTGCTGGACAGGAGTGGATATGTCCTTCTAGTAGTTATGGACTTGGCCCATTGGCGAACCCATTGTTCCCGTCCACGCCGCCTTCCATGTGTAAACGTGGACTGGTTTCTTGCTTTGGAGGTTGTGATTCTTATTAGTACAATCTAGCAACTGATTAAGCACCTGATTCAACAGGATGCGTGACTCCTTATCTAATTACAAGGCCGGTATTTACCATGGGATGTTCATCAAGAGGCAGCCCTGCAATCAACTGTGGCTCTCTAATTAGTAATTATTCGCCAGTCCGGGTTTTGATTAGATGTGGCCTCAGGATCTCTGTGTTTGTGGTTTAATATTCATACAAGTAGTAATTCTATTTCAATAAGCTGGTTTATCTCTGTGGTTGAACTCATTGTTAAAGGATAAATATCTTGCACGTTTTTCTCATGGCTGAGGGTCTGAATATATCTGCTTTTAAGTGTATGTTCCATGCCCCCTTTTTAACAGGTGCACTCAGGACGGTTTTAACCACAAGTATTGCTACAAAGTCCTCACATCAAATAATTAAAACAGCACACGAGGACGTTCATGCATACACGATTCTGCCATATGCCGAGAGTGGTGTCAATGGGAGTGGTGCATGTTAAAAGCAAGCAATAAAAGAGGAGAAGAAGAACGCCAGCTCATTGCAAAAGTTCTAAATGACAAAGGAAGGGGAAGAAAAATCAGTTTGGCTTGTGGAATCCAATTTTTGACTGATGGACAGTAAAGATAATGACACGACCGTCTCGTCCCAGTTTGTGTGTTGTGAGGCACTTGAGACACTCCGACCTTTTTGCACTCGATACGTCCCCTTTAATCGATCGATCAATACCCCCACATTGTTTTAACTGGGCTTCGGGGCTCAGTGAGGACACACAGGCTAATTCTTTTCAAGTGAACATGTGTTGCGCTTCCCAGCAGGGAGCTCCGATGGACCTCCAGTAAAGGAATCAGCCGTGCTGAAAGAGGAAATCGTTATGTGACGAACGGACGCTCATTCAGAGGATCCGTCCATAACGGCTGCAAGCTTGAGTGCCCCTAATAAAATGGAATAGTACGACGATTGATTGTTTCTAAATCTGGGGCTCTGCCAAAGTAGACAGACTTATCTTCCGCTCTGGTCTGTACTCCTAAACAATTTAGCCGTGTCCCAATTATGGGGACTGTACCAGTTAAATGGGTTTACAAGAAAAAGCATTGCCGTTGGTTGGAGAGTTGTGTTTGCGCGCTTTGCTTGGGAAGATTACGTAACTTAATTAGATCTATAGGCTGGGCGATGTGGCATATTCTTCATCATAGACACTTATGTTCGTGTCAGTAATCACTACACACTTAAAAAAACGCCCTCCCACTTCAACTTCCATCAACTTCCCCAGTTGTTTTTTTGCTGCATCTGAATTTGTTGAAGCCAATAAGCCGGAAATGAGCTTTAACAAGTCTTTGAACGTCGTATCTGCCGGCTCACCTGCGACGTTCACAGCTGGTTCTATGTGACGGACCTTTGACTCCACGCGTTTCTGTCTGAGTCAATGCGCAAACGGCGCCGGCCCGAGTGTCATTGAGCGGTTAGTTGCCAAACGTCACCAGAGTGCCCTGTTATTCCACAGCTCCTGAAGGATTGTGGGACTGTTGCTGGCACGGCGCAGAATGCAGTAAAAGCAGCTGCCTGCCAAAAACCCACGTACAACAAACCGTCACCATCGCTCACAGCTTCCTCAGCGATGCCTGAGGGCTTTTTCTTTTTATGAGGCGTCGGAGTAATCTGAAAAATTACTTCCGACCGAGAAAATTGAGGAGAACGCCCCCTCAAGTCGGAAACAAAAACTCACGGCTTGTTCTTCCAATAAATGGCAACACGTCTTCTTTAAGGCCTTCCATGCTGTTTCCCCATATGGGCGCAGGGCTCATGAACAAGCCGGAGTTTTCTGGTAAATGTCAGAGTTCTGCTTCTCTTATAAATGGCCTCTACGTTGTTCCAGCGGCCCCCGACCCGCTGGTTTTCCATCTGAATAATAATGTTTAACACCCACAGTGCCAGCAAACTGAATGTAGTTGTAGGCCCTAATTTTCTTTTAATTGAAAACAAAAAAAAAGCTTTTTTATCAACGTTTATGAGCGATATTTTGCACTTTTAGATGCCACCGATAAATGTATTGTTTCCATACACGACGTGTTTCCTCGTGTCTCTCTACACCACACAAACATGTGCATTAACATGAAAACGCAATCAATCATTGCTGTTATCTCTGGCACAGCACATGCGTAGTTATGTGTGGCCTTGTGAGAGTTGATATTTAGAAATTGCGCTGGTTGTAAAACGCCGCCCTCGTCAATAAGGCGTCTGGAGCCTGTTAACCTCCCATTTGGCCTCGTGTGCTTGCGTATTACTACGTGATAAGCACGCGTTTCAATGTTCACCAGTGGAGTCGGAGCATGTCCTCGTTGATTGCTTGTGACTGCTGTTCCTATTAGTGCTTGTAATTTCTTTCTTTTTTTTTCTTCTTTTTAAACCACTCAACTTGAAATTAGTTTTTTAAATGGGTTTATTATTTGTTTTGACAGATGCCCCGACATTTGGGCCAAAGGTGGTTTGGCCCTTTTGTTAATGTTTTGATGTCATTGTGAAAGCTCACGCAAACGTTCTGAGCGCTGCTATTTCTGACACACGTTGCTAATTGGCATCGAACCGACAATGACCCTCATTGTGAATGTGGATGTGTCACTTTAAAGTCCCTTTTCATGCCATTTTATATGAATTGGTTATTTTTTTTTTGTTGTATCCATTGTTATCTGTGTGTGTGTAACATTGTCAGCGAGAGTAACACGTTACCTTCATTCAAACCGCAGGAATTGTTCATTTTCTGTGTGTATCTGTCATATGTTCTCTAAAGTCATCTTGTTTGTGGCAACACTGACTTGGAATTTGAAGGTTGTGTTTAAAGTTCATTGATGTGCGTCAACAAATATGATCTACAAAAACACCGGCAGTATGTAAAACGCAGTGCAACGCGTAATGAAAATGGATTGTTCTGTTGTGTTCAGCTGTGACGCTTCCCTCAGGAGGAAAAAGGCTACAAAGAAATCTCCACATGTTTTATGCATGAGTGAAATCAAGTTCTTTAAATGATGATATTTCCATGGCGCCCTGGTTGGGGAAATCAGTGGTATTGTAACGTAGCACGTAGAAAGCCTAAAACTACGAACCCAGCTGAGCTACCGGCATGCGAGCCTCATCCTTTCGGTATCAATTAGGTCTGAAAAGTCTCCCTTATTCCCCCTTCTACTCGTAGGAACAAGGCGGCGCGCTCTCTCCGTCTTTAACGGTTGTAGGGATTTCACCCAAAATGAATCTCTGAAGTTGAATTCCTTGAGCAGCGCTCGGAAACAGTGGAGGCTGAGCAGGAATATCAAACCGTGTTGGGAGTTGTCTGCATCTGATCCGCGGGCCGCGGACCACCGTGGAGCTGCAGAGGTTACGGCTATAGGAAGAACACATCCAAGTGCACGAATGTGAAGCATAGCTTATTCTCATTGAGCTACAGAGCTGCGAATTAACGATATTGATATTCATATGTCGATTGGCCAGTCGATCATAATCATCCGATCATTGCAGCTCTAATGTGGAGATATTATTGCTTACATCTCACTCATTTGTTTTGGAGGTATCCTTTAGCATCGCAAACCTTAATCCTATTTTGAACCTGAGACTGAGAAGCGCCGTTGTCGATGCCATATTCTCTGTATTCACACACCCCACGTCTGCTTTGCCTCGCAGCTCCACTCAAACTCCGATAAAGGCGACGGATCCGTCCGGTACATTCTGAGCGGCGACGGAGCCGGGACCATATTCATCATCGACGAAGTGACGGGGGACATTCACGCCACTAAGAGCCTGGATCGCGAGAGGAAGGCACATTATGTCCTGCACGCACAAGCCTTGGACCGCAACACGGAGGACGCGCTGGAACCAAAGTCGGAATTCATCATCAAAGTCCAAGACATCAATGACAATCCACCCAAATTTCCGGATGGACCCTTTGTAGCTACGGTGCCCGAGATGTCTGAACTGGGTGAGTAGTGACACAATGAACCGGACTGTCGTACCATCGTGTGCGGCGGTACGCAGTGAAAGGGTTTCTTTGGTTGCATTTTACATACGTCTACATTTTTACGTCTCGCCCCGTTGTCGGTCCTCTCTGTGGTAATGCCGTGCAGAATGTTTGATCTCCCGTAAGCCGGCCGGTCCTCTTTGTTTCCTGGTCGCTGTGATGGTTTCCCGGGTGGGCGGGTCCTTAAAAAGCACTCAAGGGGCGCCTCCACCGCAATCCCCACCATCCACCTCCTCCTGCCCAGAATCACGTTGCAAACATTTATTTTTCATTCCTTCATTCTTTCTTCGGTCCCTCCGCCCACTTTGTTTCCCAGTCCAGTGGATCCTTCCTCTCAGCACAACGGCTCAAAGGCGTCGTGCTCAGAAATTTCACAGCACTCTTCCAGGACGCATGTAGGTTGTGCGCAAACGTAAACGGGGGCCAAACTTGCTTCTTGAGTACTGTAAGGCAGTGATGCCGCGCGTCAGCAGACGCACTTTAGACGTCTAAAACAAAGACGCGGTTCCTGTTAATCCGCCGTACGCACACTTCTACCGCGGGCGCGCATGAGCGTAGGCGCGTGGCGCACGATGCCACTCTCTCATCGCAGGTGCGTCTCTCAGCAGCGAAGGAACCTCAGGGTTTGAGTGAGAAATTGTTTGGATGAGAGACTCTCGAGAAAGCCGCAAGCAGCGATACCTCTCGCTCCGAACTGGCACTTTTTTTTAACGGGCACTAGTGTTGGAAAAAAATATATCAAAGAAAAAATGAATAATCTGCTTCTTTCTGCGAGTAGATGGAAATGTGCAGAAGTAAAGCCGATTAAACATCCTGACCCAGATAGACCTGTAGACGGCCTCTTTATAAACAGTCAATATCTCCCTGGTCGCGTTCATGAATATTCAGGAACAGAAAGTCACACGCGCGACTTGGCCGGCGGGATTGTTGGTACCTAAACCGAATGTGTCAAGTGCACGTCTCAATCTCTGCAGAGTAGGTTGTGATGCTCGCTATGTCGAGTAACGCTTATTGGCACGTGCTGAACATCTTGTCTGTTTGATGAAGATGCTGTTGCTATTCCAAGACCAGACAAAAAGGAATCCAATGAACCGCTCATTAGATAATCTGGTTTATCTGAACCAGCGCACAACAGGGCAGCGAGCGAATGCTGCGTATCGGCGTCCTTCCGCTCGCTTCTTACGAGGCTACTCATTCTAAAGTTTCGCTGCAAACTTCATCATCGGTTACACGAAAAGAATCAATCACCATTGACGACCCAAGGGAGGAAATCAAGGACTGCGAAGGGGCGAAATAATTAGCCCTTTTTTTTTTTTTTTTGCCCATTATGGTAATTCCTGGTTGGTTTCAGCATTTGCAGCATCCAATCGGCTGTAACAATCATCTGTCCTCACACTCACGGAGCACTAATCCCCTCAGCGTTCGTCAATACTGCGTCTCCCAAGTGCAGCAAGGTGCCTGTCTGGGAGTGGGGCAACTAATTGGCTGCGATGCCCTTTTTTTTTCCTGTTCAAATTGATCAGCCGGGCAGGTGTCAGGTAGTCCAACGCTGCTGTTTCGTACCCCCCCCCCCCCCCCTCCCCTTCCACTCAGTGGTGCAATGATATTTTTTGCTAGAGTGCTAGTTGAAAGGAGTATCAATTTCTCTGTGCTGCACGTCTCCCCGTTGCGATGTCTCCAGAAGGCCGTGCAGGAGCGGCTACCTCTGCTTTCCTGGCAGACATTTCCCTTCACTGGCTCGCAGCGGTTTGAAACGGACGCGGTTGCTCGGTTAGATGACGAGTTGCGGATAAACGAGTGTTATTGGAACCGATGTGCGGAAATTGAGCCGAATGGCACACTTGGGGGGAATTTCAAAGTGCGTTCACGATTGCATGCAAAGGACCGAACACCTACTTGTGATTTATTTTCAACTCTTTTTCGCTACCAGGTGTTGAGCCCGATAAATGCTGCTATTCATCAGAAAAAAAAAACAGATCTATTCTTGTTTTCAAATCAGTTTCTTCTCTGGAAAAAAAGGCGTCCCTGCTATTAAGATGACAGATTTCTGCTTCCCATTATATCAAAAACAAGATCTTGTCTGAAGGCTGCTTTGTTTTTAGGATTATCATCAGCGAAATGGGGTTTTTTTTTGGTTATTTCACAAAAGTAGGGATGAAGCAAACGGTACAAGACGCTTAACTCTAATTTAGGGAAGATGAAGGCAACCTGATGGTTGTAATCCACCCTCAGACACCGAGCTTGATCTTTTAGAAGTACATTAAGTGTCGCGGTCCAACGAGGAGTCCGCCAGGGTCACCCGCTGAAACCCAAAAGGAGGTGATGCACGTAGGCGTGAAAAGGAGAAAACGGAATGTGACCGGCTTCATAATGGACGCGAGAGTACGATCTTCTCACATTGCTCTTACATGGTGCATCTGTGGCTGTCATCATCGACAACCTGCTTCCATGTAACTAACCCACCCGTCCATCCGCATCCTCCTTACACGTGTCTTTTGTTTCCGCTCACACCCGTTGACCGATGCGATTGGAGAGATTCGCGATGGCAGAACGAAAAAAGGTTTTCTCTCCATTTGTGAAACAGATTCTTTAACGTTAACCTTCAGCAAACAATAACGGCTCTTTTTAATGTTACACTCGTCAACGTATTAGTTCCAAATACAAGCTGGAGTGTATATTGAGCAATAGAAAGCACCTTATCGAGTGCATAATGGGTACAGAGTTGTGACACACAACATGTTGCTGTGAGACTCTTTTAGCTGTTCATTAACCACACATTTTATTTACCTAAGCCATTAACACATCACACTTTAAGGTTCCTCGATTTGATTATGTGCCGACGTAATAACTTTGACACATGAATTGGAAGAGACGCGGCTTCCCGAAGCAATCCCACAATGGAATGAGTCCAAATATTACCAGTGCAATTTTTACTGCAAGGCTGAAAGACATTTAGAGTGCCCAAGCGTACTGTGGAGAACATGGTTCATTATAGCTGGCATTCCACTCTGCTCCTTCAGGTTTCCAAGAAAAGAAAAGAAAAAAAAAAACCTGCGTCTGCCGGGACACGGAGCATTTCCAATTGTTTCATTTGGTTTCATTCCCAGAGGAAAATAACAATGCAAGTGTCCACAAGATTTACAGGCCTTTCAGAGTATCATGTCCTACTAGGATTCATACGTCTTTTTATGCATCATAAAATCTTGTAGTGCAATTGCAATGCACTCATCACGCAATTATGATGGGTTAATGAAGCCCGTAATGCTGTTTGAGCAACACTTCAACTGTTAAATTGAAGCACAATGGCTTTAACACAGGGCTCTCTATGAATAACGGTTTTAATAGCGGCTCATCCCTCTGAGTTTTGAAATATTGTGTCTTTTTTTGGGGGGGGGAATTCTGCAAAATGCTTGAAAAGTAGCTCGAGAGCTTGTTCTCGTGGGCACCATTCCCCACGGTTCACCGGCTGAAAAATGCAATCACACTATTTGACTTTCATGTGACTCACACACGCTGCATTTCGCGTCGTGCTTGTCTACGTATTTCTACATCATTGCATTACGAATACAGTTAATTCATCGTATTCCTTTCTAACTTATTCCGGGTTTACATAATGAAGGATTTTTGCTGGACTGTGCATGCACCATACTTAAGTAATAATGCAGATTCTTTCCTTCTTGTCACTTTTAAAAGGGGCCAGACTTGGTTGTGAGGGGATTTTCAGCAAAGAGCCAAAATCATATCAATACGCTTGACTGCAAAATATCGACAACTAATCTTGCCGTGTTCTCTTTTTCAGGCACTTCTGTGTTGCAAGTCACAGCGTCGGATGCGGACGATCCCACCTACGGAAACAGCGCCAGAATCGTCTACAGTATTCTACAAGGACAGCCCTATTTCTCCGTCGACCCCAAAACAGGTGAGGTACTGCATGCAGTGCACACGGCAGCTGTAACAACGATTGGACGTCATAAATCTGTCATAATTGTGTGGATCTCCTAAAGAGAGGCGCGCGTCGTGCGGCGAGGTACGTGGACGGCGCTCTTTTCTTTCTCCTTCGCGGGTTATTGCTGCACGTCCTGACTCGGTGAAAGCCAAAGCGCCCGCAGTAGAGTTGTGGCTCGTACGAGCGGTATATTGTTGGGCACGCGAGCCGCTCTTCGCGGGTCCTCGGGGGTCAGAGAAGACATTTTGCAGAGATGCATTCAGAAAGCCATTGTTTTGCAACCTCATGAACGGCTGCGGTGCTCCGTGTTTTAAAAACGCCATCCTTTGTCTGAAAGGCTTCTGCAGGAATCTATTAAATGTTTATAAACCTTCTAAAGGGAGAGACGTGGAACTTTCATGTGATGTGAGAAATGTGTTTGCGTGCCTGCGTGCGCGTCGGCCTATTTCGGATCTCGCAAACGAGTGCGCGCGTGCACGTTGGTGTCTGAAGCCGTGCATGTTGGCTGCTGCTGCTGGTTAAACTGAACAACGATCCACTTGCATGAATTGATTCATTGCTGTCTGCAACAACTATTGGCCCCTCAGAGACCATGCCGCCCATGTAAAACATGATTTCTTTGCTGAATGAGCAACAGAAATGAATTGCTGAATATTTTGTCTTCACCTCGTGGGAGAACAGCTGTGGGGGATTGATGGAGCAATTTCACCGTGGTGTGGTGAGGCGGCAGCAATGCCAACTTCTGAATAAAAACATGGCTTTTCGCAGCAGCACATACATTGCGGCCACAAATGTTTCAGCCGACATCTATTTGATATCACGTTCCGTCAGTAAAAATGATCATCCCGCAGCCACTTTCTCTCCATTTCCCGTATGCATTTGTGCCGCTGGACACATCAGATGGCTTGTTCTGCCTGAGCTGACTCGGCATCCTGTCTGCATAGTAATGCAGCGCGCGCGGCGTGCAGAGGAGCAGGACCCAGCTGCACTCACCGCGCATTCATCTGCACAAGTCCTCCGTTGTTTTCTCCGCCTCGTGCCATCCAGCCTCCTCCCTCCGATGAAGCCGAGGAACTCCAGCGGTCAGTGGCAAACGTGCACGTGGAGGACGCTGCGCCCGCATGTGATCTGAAGTACGCTAAGCCCGGGTCTTAGAGGCAATTGTGTTTGGCGTGCTGCCACTTTGAGCAGCGTTTCAGGGCGCCGAAGCGGCTCCTGCGCATGTCTCGCCCGCTGAGACGCGTGCATCGCTCCCACCTCCTCACATCCACCGTGCACCTGGCCCCCACCTCGGGTAACTGCGGGAATTCATGTATTAATAGCAGGATTAAACACGCGCAACATGTACGCGTGCAACCACACACACACACACACACAGATGGAGAAAATCCACCTGTTTCCATTTGCCCTCGCTCTGGTGGCCTGTGACGGATTTGACCCGCGAGGTAGAAGGAGCGAGCAGAAGAACAGAGGGTAATAATAGCTGAAGGAATCCTCAAAGGACCGTCACAGACTTGACCCAAATCCTCAGAAATCAACAAAGTGAACAATTGTACCTTTCTTCCCGCCGGCTCGGTGGGCTTTGATCACATCATCTCGTACCCAGCAGCGGCTGAAATAACCAGGCATTCTGAAATTGTTTAGCAATCGTATTAGATTGACCAGATTTCATTTTTTATACTTTCAAGAAGCCAAATTATATTATTCACTGCCTGAACAAAGTCGTGATGAACTAGTGTTTCAGCTCCTGGTGTAAAATATTTGAATACAAAAATAATGTACATAAATGATCTGAATCAAGATGACTCATTTTGGCCTTTATCACTATTCTTCATCTAGATTAGGGTCAAAATGTGTTTGTTAAATATTACATATACATAAAACAAATGGAATAAGCAAATAAAAGCTATATTTCCAAACCAAAATCAGACTTAATGAATGCATTCTCAAGATCCATGTAAATTGGCGTAAGATAATTAGGTTGTGAAGAAATGAAATAGTATGTTACTTCTACTACTACGATACTACGACATTTCTACGTGCACAGTGGTCACATCGCAAGACCTGCAATGTCGCCCCATTAACTCAAACACGTAATTTCATGACTAATCCATAGTGGATTCCGCCCGCTGTGTTTGATTCAATTATAGCCGGGGTGTCTTTGCCTAACGCCGAACCAATATGTACCAAACTAAAGGCAAACTCTATTGGACACTGATTTATTTCAAAGGCAGGTAATTAAGGCAGACATGCTAATTGCTAAAATAACCGAGTTCATACTTACTAACTGACTAATTAACTCGAGAACAGCGTCGAGGCGGCTTCTTGTCTCTGCTGGAAACGAGATTCAATCATGGATGAGAAATTGTAATTGATGCATCTGAGGTGGTGTCATGCAGACAGGGAGGGATGGGGATTTGGGATTAGATTCACTTGGCTGAAGAAATAAATGAGCATGACACAGACGGTGTAAATACAGAAATGTGCACTGATTATGGTGGAAAAGGGAAATGTGGGCAGAATGAGGCCCAAATAAACTATGCAGTTCAATGAGGATTGTGTTGAGATTGGGTGTTTCAACCTATCAGCTAAGTGACCCCTTCAATAACCCCCTTTTTACCAGCTATTGCACACGGAGACAGACATTTAGAAGCAAGTCCAGTTCAACAATACACAGGAATTCATTTCCCCTTTTCCTAGAAATGGAGTAAATATGTGTATTCATTCTGGAGCTTGATGACATGACGACAACGGCCACACATCTGTATGTCTTATTGGAATCAAGCTCTGGCAGATGATTAGCTTAGAGTAGCAGAACAGGTGGAGGCAGCTGACACGCTGCAACTTTAAGAGCGACCCTGAACACCCACCTGCTGCTCGTGCTGCGACTGGTGTGGGCGATGTCGGCCAATACCGAGGGCGGAGACACGGGGACAACGGGGTGTTGGACAAACGGACCGCCGCAACCTCCCTCCGGATGAAGGTGTTTTAGTCACTGTTGCATTGGCCTGCACGCCCCCCAGGCCGGCGTAGCCAAGTGTGACGCTAGCTGTGCCGTGAGCTCTCCCTGCAATGGATGATCAGGCGTTTTTTTTTCCAGCACTTTCGCTCCCTCAGCAACAGTGCGACTTGAAAGGCGGCTGCATTTATCCTGTTTATTGTCGGGGTCGTAAACTCCCGTCTTCGCCGTCACTGCCGAGCATCTGTCGCTTACCCTCAGAGACATCAGGGTTTTTCCTCTCGAGTCCCGCAGTGGAACGCCGCCCCCCCCCCCCCCCGCCTCACACACAAAGACAAACGACGCCGCGCAAGTCCCTTCTGCATTCTAAATAGGCTAATTTCTCTGCTGATCTGGGATTTGGGAGTGTTGGAGTTTATTCAGGAGCTGACACAGATCAAGACGTGTGTTTTGTGGCTCGCGGATTAATTCTTACCTCTGGCGTGAGTGAAGGAACACTTTGCCACTCTTTAAAATCACTGTAAACCATTGAGCAGACCCACCAATTATTCCCCATCAGATATGCAGGTAAAAACCTGAGGTTTCATCCTATGATTTATGGGGGTTGTGCAGCTGCTGTTGGTGTTATCTACCATTCCTCCAGAAATGCTGTTAGAGTGCCGGCACGCGGGGGGGGGGGGGGGATAACATCGTAGTGGATGAGCCAAAAAGATTCCTGAAGCTGGAGATTGAAGAGTGCTTCGGTAATCTCCTCTAATCCTTTTTGTTCACCCGGGAGATTGTCCTCCTTTAGAAGTTTGCAGCCAGACAAAGAGGCGGATAGCGCGATGGTATCAACTCTTAATAGACTGGGGGGGGAGGCACCTCGCTGTGTCAGGTGGGCCCGGGTTCAGGGACGCCGGCTCTTTCTCAATTATTTTCTAAATGAACTCACGAGCTCCGTAGAGACTTGACGGAGGCTCTGTGAGGTATTGCGGTCGAGAAAAGGCAGTTTCGGGGGTTTCATCCTCATGTCAGAGCGCTGACGTGCCCCTCAGGTACCAAAGAACACCCCTGTGGCATTTCCTGTAAATGTTAAGGGATTTCTTTCTGGAGCGATTTAACTGCATGGCATCAGCTTTTAAAACGTGTTCTTCGCTGTTTGCTTCTCTCGTCTTTAATGAAACAGCACGGCTTCTCATTTGTTCACCTGAGGACAAATGATTCGACGGAAACCCCCCCACAGAGGAATTTCACAAAGCCCAGCAGAGAAGACCTCGTACCTTTAGAGTGTGCGCTCAACGTTCCCCGAAAACCCGGCGCGGTGAAATATTGCCGAGGAGCGATGCGCCTTCATGAGTAAAGGCACAATAAGGGACCCGGAAGGTCAGATCATCGGTCTTACTGTTGTTTAATGGGAAGTGTGGCCGCTCGCCGAGGTCTGGTGTGTCTCAAGGACCCCAGGTTAAGTAATGCTTAGACTCCAGTTAATAACACAGGGCTGCAAATAGAGTTAGCAGAGCTCGCGTCATTACGGAAAAGTGGCTGCGAGCACTTTGATTAGTTTTAAAACCACAAAGAGAAGTGGATCCATGCTGAGACCTGACATTTGAAACAAAGAAAAAAAAAATAGCTTGCGCTCCGATTCCATAGAGCTGTTATCACATGGGGAGTTGTTCTATGATAGAACGTGTTGCGTGTCTTTTCTCATTTATATTGCATGTTACTTTATTTGTGAAAAGGCAAATAAAACAATTTCAATATTACCCTATCAAGTATTATTTTCCCTCTATCCCGATCAGATTAATTCATGATAGAGATTATAATAAATCAGTTTAACAGCTCTGAATAGCTCTGCATTGCAATCGCATTGAGCTGAAGTATAAACAGAGAATTAAAAAAAGGTGAAGTGATAAGACTTTGCAACTGATGCACAAGTGCTCATGTAGCTCATTTAATTAAGTCAATAATTCAAATAGAACTACAGTTACAACCCAATATCATTACTTTCATAGAGGAACTCGTCGTATTATTGAACAAATGAAAAAATGCGCTAAACCGTTTTTCAAGTGTTGACAGAGAGGAGTCAAAGTAAATGAATCTGCTTCGATATCTCCTGGAACAAAGCCCTGCTCCACTTATCGCTGACACCTTCAATCACGTGTAGTCGAGTAGTAAGAGCAGAACTACCAGAGCATCAAACACACGGAGGAGGAATCGCAGGACACGCGGTGAACTGATGTTATATATATTTAAATAAATAAAAGTCTTTGTGCTCATCAGCCACTAGAGGAACGTGAACAAGAGGAGTGAATGGGGGGGGGGGTCTATTCACTGCTCATTCATGACAAGTCCATTACCGTGCTCAGTTACATTGTGACGATTACAAAGTAACCGCACGTTATTCAGATCTCAATTTCAACTCAATTCTAACTCCTACGCTAACTTGTATGACTCTATTCTGCTCTATTTATATCGTCCGTGATAGTCGGACGTTGGTATTTCTCTCTGGTCTGCGGAGCCGTAACACAATCCCCCGTTTTGTTGACTTGCTGCTAATCACTTTAGCTCCACGAGTCTCTGGAACCTCAGCAGCAGCTCCGCGTGACGGATGATGTGTAACCTAAGACAACCCCCCCCATCTTAATACTGCTTTACTCCTTGACCCACTTTTAATGATTATTCTGCCTCAGGCGAGTGGATTACGTCCAAGTCTCAGAGAAAGAAAGAGGAAATTGGCTGCATTGTGTACAGCTGACTAGTGAAATTGGGAAAATAGTGGAAGTATTAATCCCCCCCCCTTACACATTTTTATTATGTGAAATTCAAGCTGTTCCACACTTTATACTTGATTGCGTCACACATCTGAGGAACAGGTTTGCCGGGCATGTAGTGATGGTTGGGGGGGGGGGGGGATCCACGTAAATGACACATGCAGCCGTGTTAGTGAATAGAACGCTCAACACGTCTGGCCTCGCCGCCGCCTCCTGGATTTCTACTCCTGACACGGAGCTGCAGCGGCTCCTTTTTTACCGCCGTGATCAACATCATCATTTCCCACCAGCTCTCACTGCTCCCGGGGAGCCGCTGTGCGTTATCGAAGGGTTCACAGGTTCGCCGGGAACATTGCTTGAGTAGTTGCCGCGGGGTGTTGTCTCTGGGGTGGGAGCGAGATGTACGGCGGGAGTGGGAGACGTTACCGGGAGAACGTATTGAATCAGGCCCCATGTGGTGATGTGCTATTAAGCCTGCAGCTCAGATACAGACGTGAACAAAAAAAACAACACGGACACACATGTTAAGGCCCCTTGTACGAATACCGTGTCCACACACGCAGCTGTTCTAATCCACAAATCCCCCACACAATGAAAACACGTCTGGGCCTATTTCTGTTGGTTGCAGTTCACCCGTGTGCAGGATCTGCAGCGGGGGCCGGTCACATATCACTGAGTTAGCGCTTCGCTCCGCTATCGGCGTAATAAATGGGATCGCGGGGTGGCGCCTCGGAAAGTTGCATTCCGCCCAGATCCAAGGTTGCGGAGTAATGAAAAGTGAGGAAAGAGCAACCTTGACAACGAAAGACCAGGAGGATGAAAGATAAAAGAAGTTTCATGGTGTTTGTGTTTAAAAGTGCTGCACGGGTAGTCCATCTGGTGTAAATACCAGCACAATGATACTGACGTCTTCAGCAGTATTTTCTGTTTTTCAGCGTCTTCTTCTTCTTCTTTTTTTGCTGTTTTCAGTCGCGCTGAATCCTCAGGTGGGACACGGCGAGTCACAAAGCTCGCGTCACATTTCAGCTGCAATGTGCTTCCCTCCACGTGTGCAGGGATCATCCGGACGGCGCTGTCGGACATGGACCGGGAAGCCAGGGAACACTACACCGTCGTCATCCAGGCCAAAGACATGGCGGGGCAGGTGGGGGGGCTCTCCGGCTCCACCACCATCAACATCACCCTGACAGACGTCAACGACAACCCGCCCATGTTTCCCCAAAGTGCGTATACGCCGCTACCCGACAACAACAACAACAACAACAGCGGAGACAAAGCGCAGGCCCGGCGGGCCGCACTATTCTGTGGATGATCAGTAGAAAGAAAGGGTTGAGTGGAAAATGATTAGGACGGGCCGCAGCTTCCATTTGAGAACTCTTATCGCCAACTGGCCAACAACCAATATTAATACGTTGTCACTTACCTGCATATACACAGCTTACGTTACATTAAGTGGCGTGTAGTCGTGGCTGGAGATTTGGAAAAAAATAAATTTAAGCAGAAGGGCCTCCGTTACAGGGACCTGAGGCGGAACCTGAACGGCATTTTACGAAAAAAGAGTTCTGTTTTGTATTTCCCTTGTGAAAGAGGACTTAACTACTTGCTATTTTTAAAATCATTCAAGCAATGCATCTGAACAAGGAAGACAAGCAGACTTTTGTTGTTTTTGCTGCTTGAATGGAAAGAAGAAACATCAACAGTTCGCTATTTGCAAGGATGAAATTCTTTAATTATAACGTATTCATGCATGCAATGATTAACCATATAACAATCCTGCAGGGTTTAGAGAGCAGATCATGGATTATGGAAGCTTCCCCCAAAGACTCTTTTAGCACTCTTCAATGTTAACCTTCATCGTTGTGTGACTCAACAGTCTAATATTGCAATTAAATGTGTCCATAATTCGCTAAATTAGAACAGCATTCATTAAAAACTCTTTGTTTTGTAGCCTGAATTTTAATTCCTCCATTTTAATGATGAATATGAGCAATCATCAAGTTGTTATGTTGTCTTTGAGAGAACCCCATCAAGCACAGGTCTCCCAGGGCTTGAACGTTTTCCCCTTTTCTGCTGCAGTAAATACGTTGTCTGATTCATCATGTGCCTCGGAGTGAGATCTGTGGTGCCGCGGCGCTTTACGGCATCAACCTTCAGCCCTTAATGTCACCGGAGGCTCTGCAAACCATCTTCAATCGCTTCTCCTCCATTGGTGACGGAATCAAACCACGTGGCCGCGCCCTGTCAGAAGCACGTTCGGACGTGGTCGGATTCCGTTTTCAAGTGTTTCCTCTCGCGTCTCTTAAGTGGCTTTTCTTCGTCGTTTCCCCCCCGCAGAGAATTACCAGCTGTACGTCCCTGAATCGGCTCAAGTGGGGAAACCGGTGGGGAAGATCAAAGCCAACGACGAGGACCTTGGCGTCAATGCAGACATCAAGTACAGCATCATTAACTCCGAGGGGGCAAACACGTTCTCCATCTCCTCCGAGAGAGACACGAGAGAGGGCGTCGTCAGCCTGAAGAAGGTAAGAACAGGAACAGGATGAATGTGACCCCCTCCGTGGAGAAACAGGAAATGGTCCTGTGTAACCAGCTTGCGTCGACGCTGACTTAAAGGGGACATAAAAAAAGTTGTTTTCAGGTCCACACTTGCATGTAGGGTTTTAAAAGCACATTGTTTTCCTCATGCCGTTTGTCTTAACATACCTGCATTCGCTCTCCGTCTTAAATGCTTTCCGCTCCGAATGGCTTGCAAAAAAATGCAGTGCACCTTTTTATAAAGGTTGTTTAGTGGTCGTCTGACACTGCAGACACCCAACTGTGTGTTCACGAGAAAGAGCGCGTGTTCCATGATATGCCCCCTTTCTAAAAGCTTTACTGGGGAGAGTTTTAACCACCAATCATGTTGTAAATGTCAAAATAATTCACCAGGATACGAGGACAGCCATGCATACACAATGCTGCCATACGCAGAGAGCGCCGACAGTTGGTGGAAGTAATGCACTTGGAAATGAAGCTATACGCTCCGATAAGAGTGTTTGCAGAGGAAGAATTCCAGCTGATGAACGCCGTTACATAAGTTCTTAATAATTCTAAACAAAAAAGCTGCAATAGGGTTTTTTAGGAGGAAAAGCTATTATAAGTATTGTTTTAAGAGGTTTAATATGTTGTAGTTTAAATTGAATATTCAATGTTTCTAACTTTCCACACGCAGTTAAACAAATGGTGCAATTAAATGATATTTCTTATCAACAAACATTTCTCCCCCCGACCGACAGCCTCTGAACTACGAGAGGAAGAAGAGCTACACGCTCCACATCGAGGGCACGAATACGCATGTGGACCCTCGCTTCTCCTACCTCGGCTCCTTCAAAGACACCGCCACCCTCAAAATCACCGTCGGGGACGTGGACGAAGCGCCGGTCTTTTCCATTGACCATTACATCATGGACGTGTACGAGAACTCGCCGGGCGGCACGGAGGTGGGCGTCGTGACGGCTCGAGACCCCGACAGCAGGAACAGTCCCGTCAGGTGAGCCACTTTAACTCCTGCGTGTCCGCAGGAACATTTCCACATATTTAGAGGCAAAGCAGAAGCAGCTCCGCGTCTTATTAGTTGTGCACCATTGGACAGAATTGAAGATCTTCAGTTTACCTTGTTAGGGAGTAGACGAGCGAAAGCGTGAGAGTGGAAAGAGTGGAGGTTGCTTATATTACGAGGCTTAGTGCTGGTGCAGATGTGACTGGTGGCCACTTAACTCTCTCATTTCGTCAACTAATTCATGGCCAAAAACTTACCAGACACGTACCGGTCTTTGACAGATGGATTCCTAGAAATGTCCACAGGGGCCGGTTAACATATGTCGTTTTTTTTTTTTTTTTTAATCATACCCGCCTTCGCCAGATGGATTTATAGAAACACCCAAAGAGAAATGTTACCACATAATTTGAAATAATTGGTAGGGTTACATTTGCTTTGCATTTTTTCCATATGGCTCACAGCTCCACAGGTAATCACCTGCCTGTGTGTTCATGTGTTCATGTGTTCATCTCCTGATCGGCGGTTCTTTTCTGATATTCAGATTCAGTCGTGTTTCAATGAGGTGCGTTTTGCTGCAAAAAAGCGAGGTGCTTTAAATTCGCCCCACGAGGTTTAAGTCTTACTAGGAAAATTATTTCTGCCCCCAAGAAATGTTTGTCTAACCAAATCTCCAATTTGCATGTCATATCTCTTCCCCGTGCATTTGTACTTTTTCGGGAATATTATGCAAATGTCAAAATGGACTCACAATGTTCAACACGTGCAGAGGCCTGTTTTTAGTCGTTATTCTGCCTGATTGAGAATTTTTCATGTGGCTTTAACGACCTCTGTGGAGCGTAACGCGAAATAGATAAACTGCATTTTCTTTAGGAGCTCCTTGTTTGTTTCTGCACCTGAATGCATTGTTTATCCTTCTAATGTTTGGGCTTCATCAGATATTCATTTCGTCTGCTAGCCTCAAGTACCCCGAAGCACTACAACTGCTTGGCACATTAGTATGCGCTCTAAACACATGCTTGTGAACTGTTGAAAAAGATTGATATTGCCCCCAGGCAGTGAGCTAATCCTGGGTTTTTAGCTCTGCACAGGTACCTTCGCTCCGTGACATTAAACTCCAGCAGCTCGGCACCGCTTGTATTCATGTCAGTTCCCGCCGAACTAAACGATGGAGTAGCTGTGAACATGCATCGCGTGGACCACCCGACTGATTAGGACACAATTATCTCTTGCTATCGCATGTTGTAGGATCACAGGAAAAGGGTGACTCATACTACCGCCCTCCCTGTTTGGGACACCGCAGCAGAAAGATGGAATCAGAGCGCAGGAGGGATCCGCCCACGCCGGCAATAAGAACAAGCGTGTTGTTGAAATGACAGTTCAAATGTTGACCGTGAAGAAACCATCGACCCTCATTGCCTCTGGTTGACGTTATCATATTCATACAAACTGAGGAGGGCTGTGCGTTTTTTGTAAATGGGAAATACTCCATCGTCACTGCTCTTTGCAGCAGTTGGAGCACTTTTTCAATGACAGGTCTGAATAGAGTTGCGGCCAACCGGCGGGATCCTTTTGAACCTGAGCAGCGTCTGTTACTCTGTCTGATCCAAATTGTTGTGCAGCCACAGCTGCTCTCGTTGTGCCTTTTAGTTGGTAAACAGCTGTGCGGAGTACTGGATGTGCAGGGCTTTGATTGACAGGTTTGCTCGTTTGATGCGGATCCCGTAAGAAAAGACATATCTCTGGAAAATAAGCATTATTTTTTTGTTTGACAGGAATAGGAAAATGAATTGCCAATTAATCTTACAAACCATTCCGAGATTCATTACAATAAGCAAGCCACAAATAACACTTTTTTCATCCTAATAAAGCAAATGTTCAACACCCAAACTCTGTTTCTACTGGAACCCCTCGATGCTCTTATGAGATTGAGCTTTTAATAAATCCTAACAGCATTTCTACTGAGGCTGCTCAGTACAACTTGTAAGCAATCCAAGCTAAAAAGAAAACAGATCATTGTTTCGAATCATTTAAATCCTTTCTTCACCATTTCCATCTCTCATGCCAATTGAAAAGTGTCGAGCGAGCTGTATTACTCTGGAGAGTGAATGAATGCCGGATTAAAGGTGTAAATAGGTCATTAAGAGATAAATTAGGGAATACACAGTCAATGCTCATTTCGTGCTTGAACTCATGAGGGGAAGCAGCTGAGCCCGTTTCCACTCTATATGCCGCCGGCCGCTCGGCTTCTAGCTGGATAACAGCGCTGCTAGAAAGCTATTACAACAGTGCAAACACTGCCGGCGGAACATCGCCCCGCTGCATAATTAAAAATTGAAGATAATTTCTCTTGACTGGGAAATATGTATTTTCAGAACATTATTTCCAGACCTAAAGTCCATTTCAAAAGCGGCAGGAGCTGTTCTCTGCGTGTGCTGCACAGACGTTTATTTCCCTTTGTGGCTCCACGGTGGGTCCAAAAACCCGAATGAGTTATTCTTCAAAGTGGACGTGATGCAGTTCAGAAGGTACAGCTAATTAATGCAGGAATCATGGAAAATATGGTATGAAACTACAAATTCAGCGCTTGCACATTCGATCTTAAAGCCAGTCGTCCAGGGAAACATCTTCACTGGTCCTCAGAGACGTGCGTGTGGATACTCCATCTAGATGACCACGCTCATCTGTTCCATCACCGGGGTTTCTGAAGAAGGCATCTGGAGTGGATCCATTAGATCGTTTTTTTTTTCCCTCTCCTAATAGGTACTACTTGGACAGCAAAGAGGAAGGAATGAGGTACTTCAGGATCGACGAAGGCAGCGGACTCATACGGACCACGCGGCCTCTGGACAGAGAAGACGCCTCCTGGCACAACATCACCGTGATGGCCTCGGAGGTTGGTAGGTACCCCGGTGGCTTTCCCGTGAACCGAATGTTTAGAAGGGGGCGAAGGGGGACGTCGGCTTGCTCTCACGTGAGTGCTTCTCTTACGGACAGATTGTTTCTGGAGGCAAACGATTGCATCTCGTTTTGAGGAGGATCATCGTCTTGGAATTCCAAAATAAATAGAAAACCTAATTGAACAAAATAGAAAGTTCGCACACGCTTTCTCCGTGAATGGTAAAACGTGTTCCGGACATATTCAAGCGAACAGGGTGCACATTTCGTTCAACACCTTTGGGCCCAGTAGTAAACACATGAAACACCATTATCCAGTTGATAGAGGCAGTTCAAATAGATTGCTCTTGCTTCCCGCTCTCATCTAGTTTAGCCTCGAGCTAACGGGAGACTTTGTAAATCGTTATCAGAATTGCATTGAAATCACGGGTGAGCTTTGTGTGACAGAATGATTGAAAGAGTAGATATTCAAAAGGTAATGACAGGTGCTAAAGTTCTGCCCGGAGGCCTTTTTTCTTTTTTTCTCCCACTTTTCACCAGCAGATAACGAGGCACCCCGAGGGGATCGTAGAGTCACAGTCCGGGTTCAAAATCATAGTGTGTAAAACTGCAGTCAAAATCAATATCAGCAAAAGCAGCGATATATAAAGCAGAACGCCTTCATGGATCTGCACTGCACGCCGTCCCGTTAGCAGCGGAATAAAAGATTCTACGCGTGTTGTCGGACACAGAACCACCGACCAGTCTTCACAAACACCGGACTGCGGCGGGTTTTTTTGCACTTGTGACACAGCGGCGCGACCATGGCCTCCGTTTCGCAGGCGGTTTCCCGCATGGCCTTTAAGGCTCGAACAGCGGCAGGGAGGAGAAGAAGAAAGGCTCAGTCTGGGAACGTAAACGTGACAGACCGTCTTTCAGGTTTGGTTAATGTGCTTCAGTCACCGTTAAGCCCTTTGAGAATGCTCATAGTTAAAACAAAACTATTGTGGGTCTTTGCGATTGGATTGTTTTTGCAATGAGACTCATTTGCAAAAGAATTTAATGCTGAGGAGCTAAAGGACGCATTTCACCCCGTTGGGAATTGCAGACCCATTTGTGCAGGTTTGAGGCTTAAAAAAGCCTCTCGATCATTTAGTCATTCGCCCCTCCGTCACTCCCAACAGTTACACATCTGGGAGGAAAGCACACAAACGAGGGCCACACGCGCTCCAACCCGCCAAAACCACGCTCGCCTCCAGGTTCTCTGCTCACTGCTTGTGAACTACAGTGAAGCCCCCTCACGCAACGCGGGGAAAATATCCCTCTTCAACTGGTAAAATAAAGCTTTCAACCAAGAGTTTGTGTTGAAGTGTCAGCAAATTCTGCAAAATGTTTTAATAGCATTTCGACCAGTAATATCACACATGGAATTTAAACAGAGCCCGATAACAGATGAGTTATTAGCTAAAGTAACAATTAAAGTCTGGAGAAAACAAGAATAAAGGAGTTCATTTGCATATTTATTAGAATGTATACAAATTACATTAGAGTGTATTTTTCTTATAATTAACTACAAAATCAAATTAGTCCCAATTGTTTAAATGTCCTTGCCTACGTGGAGAATTAATTAAACCGGTGCAGGCCCGGCTAAATCGGCAAATTGTTATCAGGTAACTTTGGTCATTTGTAATCACAATTAGGCAAATCTCTTGCTAACTGACGGAGGTTCTGCATGCTAATGTTTCTTTATCTTTAATCGCCTCGCCTCAGTGTTCAAGGTTACAGTTACGGACCAAAACATGGTCCAAAGCGGAACAATACATTTATTTGACTCTGAATGATCAAGGACACGCAGTGTTGGAGACACTAAGCATGTACAGTTTGCCGCAAACCCTCCTGCAGGCGTTTTCCCTTCTGACATAAATATAGACTGTAGTCAAGGATTTTTACTCTTAGTTTGTCGGATCACATAGTTCTTAGTGCAATGTTTATTGGTGCAACATAAGACCTTCTGTAGGCCCTGAAAATACATTTTAATGCAAAAGATAAAGCAAACAGAAATTTGGAAACGTGCTGGACTTGGTCCTATTCATGCAAAGGTTTTGCTGAGCAAGCACGCTATGATTCAGCGATGCACTGTAACACATACTCATACCTGTGATCTACAGCCTACTGCTGTTTGTGGGTGCAATGCCTTGCTCTAGGACACTTTAGCAGTACATCCGGAGATGCAGTAAAATCGTGGAAAACCTTTGCCACACAGAGGGTTTTTACAGAAGGATTATGAAGCTTTTGCAACCTCTAAATTGTGCAAATAAGACAAAAAGAAGCCGTGCATGACTCAAATGGAGTAATGAAATACGCTCCGGTGGTATTTGCACTTAAATGATTAGCGTACGTTAGTTCGAAAGTTCCCTTCCTAGTCAATTTTGAAGATAGAGGAAAAAAAAATGTAATAACTCTTTATAGTTTCTGCTGCCTAGATTATCACTGCAATACTTTATTGTATTCAAGCGCAAAATAACCTAAACATTTGTCCCCACTTCGAGGAGCAATTAGCTCGACAGGCAGTCACGCCACTGTAATGCTTCAGTGGAGCAAATCTGAATGTCAGATCGGCTAATTCAAACAACAATCACGTGCTCAGTGAATTACCAGGTTATTTTGTCGCCATTAAGGCTCCTACTTTACGTTAAGATGAAGGCAGGTGGGTCATTTGATTGACGCGCTTCATGAGTCGCCCGTGCAGTGCAAGGGGGCACGTAATGCATCACAACCCAGGACGCAACAATGCTGCAGAAGATGTGCTGCAAATTACCTTCTGCAACATTGCATCCCTCAGTGCTTTTACAGTGGCACAGAACTAAGACAAAACCCACCAGCTGCCTAACAAGAAGAGCACAGCGTGTCCCAGTTTGAAATCACAGCGTTGATGCTCCACTTTTTTTTTTTTTTATCAAGGTTTAAATTTTGTCGTTTCTTTGTCTCCCCTGCTGCAGACAGCCCCAGCCTCCTCAGCCACGTCCCTGTTACGGTCCAGGTGCTGGACGTCAACGACAACCCGCCGGAAATAGCCACGGACGAGGAGGTCATCGTGTGCGAGAGCTCCAGGCCGGGACAGGTGAGCATCTCGGGATTCACCCTGCAGAAATGACCTCCGGCCTCCTCCTCGGCCTCTGTCGCCCGCACGGCCACATCTCTCTGCTCCGCCCGAGAGCTGTGCGTTAAGCCCACATGCGCGGACCGGACCACCCGCGTTCTGCGCCGTTGTGCTTTCCCTCAGCTGAGCGGTAGGAAAGTGTAAAAGGCATCGGGGAGCTCAACGATCCCTCATTCAAACGGAGCGTCTCAGCAGCAAACCATGACGCTGGGAATCCAGTCTGATTCCAACTGGCTCTCAGTCGTCTCTGATTCATTCACATTATGAAGGCTTTATGAGATGCTGAGCGATGCGCTGCATGGAAATGGCTGAAAGGGCCGTTCGCTGGAGGATGCTGGAGTAAAGACGCCACTAAATTTATTTTTAATGTTTTTCAGCTAATGAGGGAAATGTTTGAATTAAGGTTTGCGTTAAATTTGAATTACGGTTTGCATTAAAATTGAATTAAGGTTGCATTACAGCCTCTGGGTTCCTCGGCGCAGGGGATTAAGTGGGAAGAATTGTAACGCGTTGAATGAGACAGTGGCACACATTCCCATTCAAATCACAATCAACGTGTGAGAAAAGAGCTGCTCGTTCGTGTTTTAAATTCTTTATGCATTTACATTTTCATACCATTTATACACACATCCTTTATTAGTTGGTGGGGATCCATCAAAGTGCCTGGTTCCAATTAAGAGTAAAATCTCAGCTGTAAATCAGGGCTCAAGGTATATTAAACTTTGGGCAGCCATGGCAACAGGACTGCAGGGAAATTGACCCATTCATTTATTGAATTGACCACAAACCGGCAAACGGCTCCTCTTTGTCTTTGACCACCGTCACCGTGTGCGATAGATTAGAATAGATATCCATATCACTAAATTATGAAAATCACTGATTTAGGATCCGATCTTTGGCAAAAGTTAAACTTAAAACTCTATTCAGCCAGGCCTTTGATAAATAACGGTTTATCTAATTATGCTTTTTTCACACTGAAATTGGTTTCAAGCTTACTGTGGTTTTGAATATTTTAAGTTCTATCTATTTTATTGTCACGTCATAAATCCAGTGAAAGCAGGAATCCTCTCAGGTCAACAACTACAGCACTGCTCAACAGTTTGCAAATACTGGATGCAAATATTCAATGTATGCCACGGTACTTATACACCACCTCACATGCTTCTTCAGAAGTCATTACGCTCAAAAGCACAATTAGCATTATGAAAAAGCACTTTGCACCCACTCAGGAAATGTTTCCTCAGGCGGCCATTTGCAAGCCAACTCACAGTTGTATTCTTTAATAATAAAACCTCTCGTTTTCCAGACATCCCACTGTCCCCCTCTTTAAAAATCATTTTACCACTGATGGAAAATAAACTCCCAACTCATCTCCGTCTCTACCCAGCGTGGACGTCCTTATCGGATTAACGTTACGAGGAACTACATCAGCTGCTGGTCCTCTCTGTGATGAGAGGGAGACGTGATGCTGCCACTGACTGTGCATGTGTGTGTTTTTGTCTCCCGAACACCAGGTGATCCAGACCGTCACAGCGGTGGACAAGGACGACTTTGCCAACGGACAGCGGTTTTCTTTCGCTTTGCCGAGCCTGCTGCCGGTTAATCCCAACTTCACCCTGAAGGACAATGAAGGTAATTAAAGTGATCAATGTGTTTGTTTGCATTTCTTATGAGGGCTGCACTCCGCCTTCGGGGCAGGACCGCGCTCACATTTCCAAAGTCCAATAAAGCGCGCTAAATTTCCAAACACCTCGGAGGCACAATAAAATAAAAATGTTTGCGCGTCGCGTTGTGGAAAAGATAACCCGCAGTCGTGGCCCCGCTTCTCCTCTACGTGCATTATCTTGTGGCCATCAGGATGGGGTGTTGCCACGGCAACCGTCTCAGTCTCAGGTGAATTCCTAGCGCTGCGCTGGTCGGCTTTTAAAAGCTCTCAGCCAGAAGGTCTCCCGCTGAGAGGGAAGTTCACAGAACTCCACGTGGGTCTCTGAGCGAGAGAGACGCACAAAATATTAATCTAAAAAAAAAAAAAAAAAGAGTCAATGTGCTAATAGGAGAATAATCGGTTTAGCCCTCCGTCCACCGTAAGTGGAACTTACCTCCTACGTGACGGGGCAGCACCGTTACTTTAACACCTTCTTTTTTACGTGTGATTATTTTGTAAATGTTGTGAAAAAAAAAACACATTTTTTGTCACTCAGTGATTTGTCACTCAGTTTTTCTAGAAGATTCCTGAGAAACACGAGCATGGACACCTCCGCTTCGGCCCGCCCAACGTTTTCTCGGGGATTCGCTGTGTGCCGCGTTAATGGAATCACATCGTGGACTTCATGGAACGTGAATGGGGTGGTAGTTGTTCACAGCCATTCTGTCCTGCTGCTGTTTTCATCTTTTAAATGACTTTTGACGTAATTCGGTTTTTGTTGGGAGTTGCTTCCAGGACAAATTTGTGTCTACGTCGGACCAACAGTCCATGGTGTCTTGCAAAGGTCTGCTCGGGTCACAAACTCGGGGCACATCCTCCCTGCAGCCTTTCCTTACAGACTGGTTGTACTTTTAAATGTGCATAGAGCTAATAAACTGGCTTTCCAACCCAAAATGTTCCTCACGTAGCTTTCTTTAGTTTACGATTCTTTGCAAGATATTTTGTACAGAACCATCTGCAGCAAAATATTCCCAAAACATTCTGTAAGGAAGCCCTTCTTTCTTCAACGATTGATGGCCTTTTTTTGGTTCATGCTGTTTGAGTAATGGTGCCTTTCATTTTGGATTTAGCTCATGCTGCAAACCGCCCCACAGGATCTTCCTCTCCTCATCTGTGATATAATCCCGCGTGGGACGGGCCGTTTACGTCTTATGACATGGAAATAAGAAATGATTCATATTCTAATAATTTGCCGTGAGAAACAGACACGTTTATAAAGAGCACGCTGATTATTCCCTTTGGGATAAATTATCCCATCCCATCGACCCTACAGATCCAGGAAAGTGGTTGAAGAGTTGCTCTGATTCAGAGCAACAACTTGAGCGGTCAGCTGACCAGCGAAGCCTCGCGCTCGCACTGGAGCAGTCAAACGACGAGAGCACTCTTTAACCTTTGAGACGAGGTAGTAGGTCCACACACACACACACACACACACACAGATCCCCTCTGATGTTCAGCAGCTTTGAGCAGCTTATCAATAAAGGAAAATAAATCACAATTCCTTGAGATCCTTGTATCCACCCTTCATCATTTCATTTTATTGCTCCATTAAATACTGTCAGAAAGCCTCACTGCAGAGATGAAGGGCGACGAGGCAAATTCCAACTGTCTTTTTTTTGGGGAGACGAGAGTGAAGACACAGTGTTTTTTGTTTTATAAAACCTTTTCACGAACAGGTACCCCCCCCCCCCCCCCTCCCCAAAGCACACCCTGCTTCACGGTCTATTCATGACTTGCTAAATGCACAACATGCTGCGTTGTGGGAGACGCTGAACAGTCGATTTGGGCTGTGAACTCATGTTTACACGGTTTATTGGAGGTCAAAATAGAGGGAGGTTTGTTTCCTCGTAGACTTCTAAACATCCACACGTCATTATAAAGGTCAAAGTTTACCCACAAAGCATAGTTGTCCCCACACGGGGCTTCTTGCCCCTTTTTTGCTATTCTTCACTTTCAATCGAACTCACTCCTCGTCCGCCAAGAATGGTTCGTATCACTGTTTCTTTTCCCTTTTAAACTCCTCTCGGCTCATCCGCGCCTTCAAAACACAGAACTCCCTCCGTGTGTAAAGCTCACTTCTGAGTCTCCTCCGGTCCCTCGGATCCTCCACTCAGAGGAGGCGTCGGGCTGCGATGTTCCGCCTCGGTATTAGAAGTCATCCGCAGTCTTCACAATACATATAGAGAGAGAGACACAATGCACCATTCTGCTAATTAAAGTAAGCCGCTTCTTTCGTTGCCGTGGCAGCAGAAAAGCAGCTGGTAGCCGCTCGGCGCCGGCCCATAGTGCCTCACTCTGACACGACCAACTCCCTCGCGACCTCCTTCCCTCCTCACTTACAGATCGCTCACAGCGGATCCTCCTGAAAGTTGGATTCTTTGGATTTCGGGGGGGGATTTTGTTCCTGTAGGGAAAAAAAAAATGAGTTAAAAGCACAAATGAGGAATTGATTCCTCATTAATTTCAGGTAATTTAACAATAGCACCTGTTAAAAGAGCCCATTGAAGCATCATTCACAGGAAGCTATTTTCCGCTCCTCTTACCATATCAGATTTGTTAAAAGCCATTATATTTTCATAATTGCTGGTTTTGTAATAGCTGCAGCTGTTAAGTCAGATCAATATAGCGCTTGGGACGATACAGAGAGGAAAAACATATATATATATATTTATGGAAATGTGCTCCTAGTGTTCGGAGATGAAGCCGAGGCTCCCTTGTAGGCTGGCAGGTATGTTGATGTGAAGTGCTGGATGTGCTACATTTAAATGCAGGTCAAATTCATACAGCATATTAGGCGCCATTAAATCCGAAACCAGGAGGACGCTGCTCTGGGAAAAAGCACTTTGTGACAAAGCTGTCGTGTTAAAAGCCCTTTAGATATACTGGACTTGACTATGCAAACATTCCAACGCGAATGCTGCTCTGATCTCGTGATCTGTCACATTGGGATGACATTTGCTTCTAAAAGGGCAATTAAACAGAGGCTACGAGCTCCAAACAAGCCACGTACTCACGTGCATCAATTGATCTGGGAAGGCGTCTTCCTGTAGTGGGCACACAGAGGACCTCATAATAACACAGTTAATCAGCATGCGCGGAAAGGAGCTCTGCCAAGACATTGATACGTGGGACATTTAATTAGCTTTAATGTCATTCACACTTTACATACACCCATTATCTGCTGGAACAGCTCCATTTGTGCCGAGAGGGCAGAGCAGCAGCCACGAGCCGGCAATGTCAAATGTCAGCAAACACACACACACACACACACATATATATATATATATATATATATATATATATATATATATATATATATATATATATATATATATATATAATCTCGAATTACTTTTAAGTTAAATAAACCTAAAGGAGTGTATTTAGCAGGACAACGAAATAACAGTAATCTGGAGACCTCTTTAGATTGTTACTGCAGAAACCGACCCTGAATCAAATCTCCACCTTATGGGAGAAACGTATTAAACGGCGATGGTGCGGATGTGCAACGCGACTGCCAGCCGCCATCTGTACTCGCTGTTTCATTGACCCGAACCCGAATGCGGGGGCTTCTTTTAAAAAGGAGAGCCGCTGTTTTTAATTCTGCGTGAGCGGCATTTCTCTCTCCGCCCACAACAATATTGATCTTCAAACAACACCGTGCCATTAATCAATATCCAAAGGCACCCTATAGGAATACCTGGACGTCTCCCTGTTCTGTGTAGTATCAACCAGAACACATCCGTATCACGATTATCCGTATTTAATTATAGAAAGACGGACTCGTGCATGTTGTCAGTTCATCAGCATGTGTTGACTGTCCGGACGATTCATCACCTCCATGTGGCCACTTCAGCATAGAGGGGGAAAGGGAGCAAATGTCAGATTCATGTACTTCTCTACATTAACTGGGGGAGAAGATTCGTGCTGAACCGCATACGCGGCACCTACACACACCCACCGAAGCTCACGAGGAATCCAGCCAAGTGCACGTGTAGGCAAGTGTGAAGTCTGCAGAGACTCTGATGCGTCGCGAGTCCTTTGTTGATCTATTTTTGGTATTCTGTTTTACAGTAAGTCAGCGCCTTGACAACGTTATTTGCATTTTACTGTGGTTAATACCTTGAAACCCAATGTAACTTCTTCTATTGCTCTATTCATCCCGCGAGACTTTATGGTTTTACTTACACGTTCCTTCCGTCTTTTTTCTCTCCATGACGTGAAATGTCTTTTGTAGTTTTGTTGTTTAGTGGACAGATTCGTTCTAATGCTGTTGTTGAGTCTGGCAGGGCGAGAATTCCTTGAAAATGGTCAAACTTTTGTATTTCCGCCAACTTCTTCAGTCTCAATAAGCTTCATATCTTGAGATGACGGGACGAGAAGCCAAGTTAAAAAGAAAAACAGGTCATTTTGCACTTAGTGGCACTCTGGTTAACGAACCCAGTCCTGGCAGAATCCCACAGGGTCGGGTGGAAGCGCGGACGTGTCATGCATATTCATTTTATTTTTTTCATGCGTTAGAAACCGAAAAGCTCGCTACTGATGTGCAAAATAGCACAGATCAAAAAAGTTTGGCTTACTTTCCAGTGAAGTGTGAAAGGCTCCCTAAAGAGTCCACTCCGTCGTTTGCTGGGTGGTCACCTGCCTCGCACCGCCGTTGAGCGCCCGTGACCGCGCCGGCTCCTGCAGCCCGTCCCCCCTCACTCGGGGGGCCGATAATCCGCATAATGTAAAATTAGCATCAGATAATTGATGTGCGTTTGCTCGCTGTGGTCGGTACAAGGACCCGTGCTGCCTCGGGGCCCGTGTGGTGGCAGCGTATACACAACTCCCCCCCCCCCCCCAAATACCCCCACACCCCCCCCCATCTCTCATCTCCCGACGCCCCAATTCTCTGCCTTGTTATTTGCATCTCTCACATTCCACTCACACACACACACATCTGCCTGCGGATACGGTGATACCGCGAGTCGTCTGACTTAGTAAAGCTTGAAGTACGTGTTGTCGATCATTGTAATTATTCAGAGTGGGAGGCGCGGCCTCTGAATGCAGCGTGTTTGCAATGGGTGGAAAAGGAAAAAGCTCGCCCAGCATTTGTCCGGAACTTATATATCAATCAATGCGCATCACATGCCGGTTTCTAGCTGGTCAGTCATGTGACGCACGGATTAGTCATCCAGCTTCCTCGATTTCCCGCCCAATACCTTTCAAATCCACAGGCATGAACGGCAAGTTCACCCTGTGCCGTGTTTGTGCTCGGCGTCGTCCATCAAGCTTCAGCTATTGGGACGCCCTGCAGATGCAAGCACCACCTTCTCGATGGTAAACCCTCAGTCCGGCCCGGCGTGTTGTTGTAAGCTGCAGGTGGAATAATGGACGTTCCTTCTGTCTGTCAATCCTCATAGTGAAGAAAGAAAACAAATGAATGAAAGAACATCTTTGATTTGCTCGTGTACAAACACAGGATTTGAGTTCCAGGTGCACGGGTCAGCTGTCCTCCGGTACCCCGTTGCCATTGGTCGGGTCTTTGCTTCGTCCTTGAGCAGAGTTGCTCTTCCGGCACTCATCGTTATGGTTGCAACCATAGCAACCATAACAAAACGCTCCGCGGTGGAAGTCGGCGGTGCAGCGACGCGGTTCTGTTTAAACAGCAGCGGGTGGCTAACAGCGGCTCTCTTGTTGACCCTGAACATGCTCTACACGGACTCCACACGGACTCTACACGTCCTCCGACCACTCAGAGCGCTTTAACACTTCACGCCATCACTCACCTCATCCACACAGCGATGACAGGAGCCACCGTGCCCGGAGCCACCTGCCGGTCGGTAACACTCACGCACTGAGGTCACAGCTGCAGGAGCCATGTCGGCGTCTGGCCCGAGGACACGTGGACACACGGGTCAGCAGGGATCGAACCGCCGGTCCTCTGACTGTACACGCATACAATCAGATAGATGCATGTATTGCATGTGCGTTCTTATTTGCTTCGTGCTCTTTTCATGGTAGCTTCTCCTCAAGGTCTCTCCTGCTTTCCTCATCTTCTGCTTTTGTTTCTGTTTGCTTAACAAGAAGTGTTTCTGGGAGGCCGAGGTGAACTGCTCTTTTGCAGCACGTTTAAATGGTAAACGAACACCTTTGAAAAGGAATCTTGCTTGGCACACGGGGCAGCAACACAGGAAGTACTTTACAGGCTTGAGATATGAAAATATCCACTTCCCTATGGAATATGTTTTGGGTTGAAACCCCAAATGTCTGTCCCTATAAATAGGTAATTGGCTTCGCTGAACGAGTGACGAGCGCTAAGACAAAGAAAACCATCAGTCTTTTTCAGCCGAGGGGTCTAATTTGACTAAACATGCACGTATGTATTTATTCCCTCATTTCAGACAACACAGCCAGCATCATTGCCAGGCGGCGGCGTTTCAACCACCTGACCCAGGACCTGTACGAACTGCCCATCGTGGTGCGGGACGGCGGGGAGCCGTCGCTGAGCGGCACCAGCACCTTGACCCTGCGCGTGTGCCCCTGCCAGAGCCACGGCAGGGTCCGGATGTGCCAGGGCGAGGCCTTCCTCTCCTCGGCGGGCCTCAGCACGGGGGCTCTCATCGCCATCCTGCTGTGCATCGTCATCCTGCTGGGTAAGTTGGGGGATGTGGGGGGGGGTAGAAATCCTCGGGGGGGGTCGGGGCGTGAACAAGAGGAGCTATGAACTAAAAAGAAGCAGGAAAGGGTCGGAAGGGGTCTGACAAGGGCAGAGGAGGAGAGGGGGATGAAAAGACACGCGGGGACGAAGGTGGAATTGGGAATGAGGGTAGAAAGCGTTGGAGAGGGCGGAGGTGCAAGGAAGAAAAAGGGATTTGAAGGACACCCCGAGCGAGGAGGCGGCAGGAGAGGTGACTAGAAAGAAGACACGGCAAGGACAAAGACGACGAAGAAGAATGGAGATTGCCGGTTCGGTGTGATTCGGAGAAGATTTCGGTGGAAGTAGAATGCTCAAGCAGCTCCGATTCGCGCGTGCGGACACGAAGCTCCAACCTCAAAATCCCATCTGTTGTCGAGTAGAAATACAATTCAAATTTTCCGTTTTGCAATGCAACATCATTTTCCCTTCCTGGCTCGTGTTTGACGCTGTGCGCTGTGACCAGAGGAGCGGAGGACCGGCGTGGAGGAAAGTGCTGACAGCCAACGCCGCCGCGCCGCCGCTCTGTGTTGAACTCATCTGTGACGGATATGAATATATGATTCCATCAGAAATACTTTGAATAATAAACAGGGCGGCACATCCGCGCTGCCAGCACGCCGCGGCAGCCGGAGCGCACGTCCTGAGTCGAGGAATGTGCGTGTCCTGTTGCTATAGCAACCGGTCTGTGCGGCAAACGGCATTTGATTATATATATAAACTTGCAAATGTGATCCTGACACTTGGACAGCTGGAATGAGGACGGCCGGCTCACGCAGGTGGAAAGCGCCTGGACGCCGGCGCCAGATCTGATGACCAAATAAACTCAAGTCAACAGCTTCCCGTCAAATGAGCGGGGGGGGGGGGGTGTCACGCCCTAATTCCTCCCTCTGCAACGGGACACGATTACACCAAACTGCCTGATGGCACGGCTTCAGCGGCGCCGCCGCTCTCCCCTCGCCTCTTCAGTTAATGTGGACATTAGTGCGTGAAGGTTATGCATATTCACGCCGACTGTCTTCCTCCTCAACGCCAAAGCCACTGGCGGACGAAAGGAGCCAACGACATGAACCGAATCGGCAATCATCCGCGCAAGTCAGTCACTAGAGACGGAGAGAGAAAACAAAACGGGGAGAGACACATCACAGCTTTTTCTTTTTTCCGACCCGTGTTGTATTTCGAGTTTCTTGTTACGAGGGAAGTGTCTGACACACAGCTGGGCCACGGTGACCCGTACCTCAAGAGATACGACATTGTCAGCATCAGATTCCACGCCATTTAGCAGCGGCTCTTTGACCTGTGTCAGGAGGTACGGGGAGGAATAGCTGCGTTCGGTTATCCCGGTAGATAGTGATCTAATTTTGCGGTCACACTTGTCTTGTCTTTTGTAATGAGATGCAACCGAGCGCGCTCGAAGCAGCGGCTATAAGACCCTGGATAAAAACATTCAATTTCCTGTGAATTCTTCGCAACGCAAGCCCCCATTTTGTGCGGCTTGCTCTTCCTCCCTGCAGGGAGGGTAGATTTTGTTTTATTGAATATCAAAGCTCTGCTGATTCACGTCTTGACATTTTCTTTTAACAAATGCAAACTTTGCGAACATTGGTCATTAATTAAGCTGCTGTAAAGGATATTTGTATATGATCACACTCCAAAGAGGTGGGTGACGATTGCTCAGCTTAATATTGGAGGGAGAACCGCACCACAACGATGCAAACAGCCATCTGTAGATGCCCCAGATGCTATAGGTGGTGCAAAACCTCAACTGGCCTTGGAGAATCAAATGAAATCACCTGAATGGACCACGAGGGAGCATAAATGTGGAGAGTGCGATCCAATAAAGTGTGTGCTGTAAATAGGAATATTCAAATAAAGGTAGAATATGAGTTGTGGACCACGAGAGGCTGGTAAATAATAAAAGGTGCATGGACAGAGTCGTTGTATCCAGCTGTTTTACCTCTACAGATCAGCGAGGTAGTAAACCGTACGGACTGGGAGATGGAAGTAGTCTGAAAACTGCCAATTCTGTGTTTCCTGGTTTGCTGCTCCCCTCGCACCTCCTGCATCGTGCAATCGGGGCTTTAAACGAGCCGAGCGATAAACGCCGCGCGTTCTCCTCTCGTCTAACCCCACTCGCTGCCCCGGATGGAATAAAGGGAACTGGTTTAGTTCAATGACTTTAGTCATACGAAGTCGCGAGGTACAAAGACAACGTGGCCCATAATGGAAAAAGTCTACTTTGTTGCCCGTTATCCATTCTCCACCCGGTCTGAGGAAACGCCTCATGGCCTCACAAGTGGGTCCGGAGCTGCGGAGATCTGCCCTGCAGTTAAAGCATTAAGATTAACAATCCAGACTACGTAAAATTCATTTTATTATTAGCATAACTGCTGGTTATCTTTCTGCCCATACCTTATGCTAATATATTATCGGATGAACAATGAGGGCACATGTCCCGTGGACTCAGAATGTATTAACATTTCTCTATTTAATGAAAGGTAACCTGATTAATGACATATGTCTCGGGGAGAATATGCACCAATACTGCACAAAGCTGTTATTATATTTGTCCACCTGGAGCCCGAACCGGAGGTTTAAATCTTCTCTTTGTAGCTTTATAGTCTTCTTTCTAGTTTATGGTCACACACTCACACACTTGAATGAAATGTAATGCTCGGGTGCAAACTTACCCAAAAGCTTCTTGCGTTTTCAACATTATAAAAAGCTGAAACTTGCGGTTCCTCTTGATCCGCCACCTTCACGTCTCTGTGGAGCTCTCACTTGTTACGTGTTATACGGAGAATCATGCTACACACGAGGGTGTTGCTGGATAGATAGAAATAGCGTATTTAACGGTTTCATGTAGAACAGCAAGATGCCCGAAAACATTCAAATCACCCTAAAAAGCCTTTTTATTCGTTTTATTCGGCACATTTTCAATGCAATTTGATGCACTGATCCAGCTCGTCTCTGTTAATGCAGCATAATGAACTCCTTTAAGTTATTGCACAGCGTACAAATGCACTTCCATTTTATTAAATAGATGTTAGTGTTAACATCTGGCGTTGAGGTCATCATTAACCTGGAGACGGATAAGTCTCATTACTTTTAAGTTCCAAGCGGCGGCATCAAATCATCAAATATTACTCGGCAGGGCACTCACGACTTCGATAACCGAGATGTTTAACTCTGTTTCTCTGCAGAGACATCGAGCAACAGCTCGCTATATTTTCTTTAATGTGACAAAACCGGCACGTTCTTTCCATCGCTGCCTTCGCGTTTGTCACAAACGAACGTTGGCTTCACGCTTCACCCCGTGGCCTCTCATTGGCTCGGTGCATGATGATAACGTCTACGCTGTCATCGTTTCCAACAGCTTGCGTTCAAAAGGAACAGCGATGCAACAATCAGGCAATGCTAATGTTGGCTAATGCGCATTATTGAACACTGGGCGGTTGGTTAGTTTTATTGTCCTGATGTGAAACACGCTGTGTTCATTTGCTTGTCTGTTTATGCGGCTGATCACTGTAACCACATGGAGCCGATCTGTGTTTCGTGATGTTCTTCTGCCTCGAGGTTTATCAGCGGATTTGTTGAGAATAGCCTTTTGTCTGCAAATATTAAATAAGTCATTTCATGCTGATTTTCCGGGTTTTGTTTCGTGGCATTTACACAAAATCCCTCCTCTGTTTTTGCAGCCATCGTGGTTCTCTTCATCACGCTGAGGCGGAGCAAGAAGGAGCCCCTCATCATCTCCGAGGAGGACATCCGGGAGAACGTGGTCACCTACGACGACGAGGGCGGAGGGGAGGAGGACACCGAGGCCTTCGACATCATCGCCCTCCGCAACCCGGCCGCCGCCGAGGAGCTCAAGTTCCGACGGGACGTCCGGCCGGAGGCGAGGGAGGACCGCTGCCCCGAGGCGCGCGGCCGCCGCAGCGCCTCGCTGGAGCTGGACGAGGAGGACGTGTACGAGTTCATCAAGCAGAGACTGGTGGAGGCCGACGTGGACACCAGCGGGCCCCCCTACGACTCCCTCCAGACCTACGCCTACGAGGGCCAGGGCTCCCCCACGGGGTCCGTGAGCCCGCTGGACACTCCCGCCACGCAATCAGAGCAGGATTACAACTACCTGGACAACTGGGGGCCCGAGTTCCAGAAACTGGCAGAACTCTACGCAGAGGTGGAGTTGGATGCGACGACCTGATCTGTGATGTCACCGCTTTCAAAACGAATCGGTTTCAAGTCCGTTTTTTTTTTTTTTTTTAATCGTCCGTGAACAATATGAGCAGCGATGCTCTCAAACTCGTTCCTGTGTTGAACTGAAATGATGATCTGCGATTTTTGGGGTTTTTTCTTTTCATTTTGTCACTTTGGATCGTGGGTCGTTTGTCTGGAAGTGTTAAATCAGATGATGAGACGGAAGAATGACAATATGAGGAAAAAGGAAGATGATATTTTCCTTGGTGTATATTTTTTATTGCTCAATAAAGTCCCGAAATCCATATGGTTGGATATGTGAGAAAAATAAATTGTACATTTGTCTTCTTCATCCAAGAAGTCCGTTCTTGGTGCGATGCTGCATGAAAGGTGTTCATGACTCCATGAACCATCCGGATGCACAATAACAAGGACACTCGTTTCGTTTCATTTCCTCCACGTCGCCCGTCATCTAAAAACGCACATCGACATCCGCCACAGTTGTTTGTCTTTTTCCAAAGTAACTTTTAACAGCATCAAAACCAAGAAATGCAGCCCGGGTACCCCGGCTGTTCTCCAGGATCTCTCATGGTCACCCTTCCAATTCATTAGGTGTGTGTGGGCCCCTTTAGAGGAGCCACTTTCTCTGCATCGCTCTTTTGAGCCCTTAAAGTACCCCCGTGTGCCCTTGAGGGACACCTGGGTAATTACGGCCTGTTGTTCGGCCTCTTGGAAGCAGCTGCAGAAAGCCGTGAACACCACACTGATATTTTGTTTCTTCCTGCTGGGGGGGGGCTTTAAAATCACGTTACATTCTGTGGTTTCATGACTGCGACCGACCTTTTTTACGGAATTCGCGATCACATTTTAATCAACATGATTTCTAGTCGGTTTAAATCCATTAGACATGTAGTTTTCCATTCAAAGAACCGTCGGTCGGTGACATCTTTGATGTTACTCCGCATGCCATACAATGGGTTGAACATCACCTTCCCGTGCATCCATTAGGGAACAAAGAATCATCCTGCATTCAGTGATGCATCTTTGGCAACAAGAAAAGTAAAAGTTCAAAGTGCCGTCATTTTCTCAAGTAGCTGGTTCTGCACCAAATAATACCATTTGCTCTCATTTTGTGCTATTGAGCATTTTGTAAAAAAAAGAGGCCACGTCAGGAAAGTTCTGCGGCTGCCACGAGTGGTGAATGTCACTTTACAAATAGACTCCTTCCTTCTCTGTGTAACAGCGACGGGGAAAGAGATGCGAGTGTGGAGCCACCATCAGCACTGATGTACAGGGATGGGATCACTCGTGTGGTGCGTCTGTACGAACTCGTGCGGCCCGTCATGCGCTTGTTCATCCTTTCGTTGCGTCAGAACCGCTGACAATGGTCTTAAGGAGGACAAAGTGAAGACGATGAATATTTTAGAACCTCCCCCTGTACCTCCCAACATAACAATCCTCCATCTTTTTCTGCCTCCTGGTTTTCACGCTCATTAATTTCTTCTACTCGCAGAATAACTTTTTTTTTTTTCCCCCCTTTTTCTCACAACTGGATTGAAAACCACGTAGAAATGTGCAGAGAGGAGCTGGAGGACCGGCCCAGGGCAAAGATCATATAAAAGTAGCAACAGGCAAGCACGGGGAGCTCTCGTGCGGACATTTAAGAGTTATTTCTTTACCCGTGTTTCTATTTGAGGCTCTGTGCGTTTGCATTTTTAAAGTGCATCAATTAATGAAGCCTCAGATGAACGCGGCGGCCATCAGTCAAACTCGCTGAATCCATCAGCAGCCTCTCTTTCAGCCGCTGTTGTGTCCCCGTTCTGCACAGAATAAGTCACTTCGAGTGTGGTTGCCACGGGAAACATCAACTTTTTAATGACTCCGAGGCTCCTGGAGCGTCGGTGTTTTCCTCAGGCAACAGATATACGAGCGCCTGCCGGGGGGCCGTGTTTGTAAGCAAGCGTGGCGAGGCAGTTTGGGACAAAGGGAACCTTTCTGTGGAAGATGGATAGCTGCATCCACACACGAGGGGGTGTTTTAACCAGAGAACCCCAAAAGATTCAAGGTTCAACGGATAATATTTGGATTTTTTAATTCACGGTGTATTTGTCCATTGATTACGTTCTCATAATATATATGACTACAATCTGCAAATATGTTCAATACATGTTTAATGTCTTTGTAATACAGTTATCTTGTATTATTTACATACAATTATGGAATAGGCCGTATCAAATCACCCCGAGCCTTATTCATGAATTCATGTATTTGTTAGCTTAGAAGAGAGCAGGTGATTATCATTCAGTTACTATTATAAGGCTTCAATTTCCTATTTCCTGCATAACATTTCTTATAATAATCCTCCAAAGTCTCCAACAGCATTTTGAATATTGTCTTTCAAAGTTATAAACTTTTATACCTTGTATTCATTAATCAGCCCTGGAGCAGGAAATCATTAACTACCTCCAAATGATTTCATTGCACGTTTATTCAATTTGACCATTTGTAAGTAAGCGTCCTTTAAGTAGGCACTGAATTTGACCCCCGATGGTCTGCACACTACCTGTGGCAGACTAATGACACCAGTGATTGACATCCCAGATCCGAGGTGGTGGTGGTGGTGGTGGTGCTCTATTGCAGAGAGCTCCGTCTTATCACGTCTGTATGCAATCAGTGTACAAGATGAACGCTTGTGGAGACTAAAGGGGGGGAAGGAGAGAGATTTTTTTTAGTCCAAGACTGGAAGAACTAATCTTTACCTAATTAATAACGTGTTCGGTATTAAAGCGGAACTCACGGTAGAAATTTCAGATGAGAAATAAACAAAAACATTAATTATTTAAAAGAGGTGTAAAGTTTCCACCGGGCTAAATTGCGCAGAAAGTAAATGGGGAGATAAGTGTTAAGACACCGAGAGCGGTTTACATGGATTAAACCGTCACTCCTTGAATAAAGATTTCTTCCTTTTAAAGCCGCAATCTATCAACGCTCTGCCCATACGTTTCCCAGATAAGGCACGGGGTAATATCTCACAGGCGCGTGAGGATACGTGTTGGGGAAATAGCTGCAGAGGTTTTATCTTTTGTCGAAAGAAGCAGGATGGATTATCCGAGAAAACACCGACCCCGATGCGACGGAGGCGACGGCCTCCTTCGCCCTCAAACAGCGGCCCAGCAGCGCTGCATCCTACGCGTTGTTATCAGAGGATGCTCGCACACTAAAAACAGCTGTGATTGCACTTTGCATATCAGGTCAAGGATGGAGGTGTGTTTGTGTGTGTGTGTGTGTCAGTGCCTGAAAGGTAAGGGTGGGTCTCTGTGTGTGTGTTTTCAGCGGCTTGTGTAAGCTAAGACCTCAGGGCCAGCCGCTGCTTCTTTTCGTAGCGTTTGAGGTCAGAAGATGTTTGAAGCCTTCTCATGGAGTATGATTTAATGGAGGAGAGCTTTGCATATTATAAATGTTCATGACTCTGGAGTGTGTGAAGGTGAATTGGAAATAAAAGATCAAAAGAGACTACAAATCCTTTCAAACTCAAGCCGCGATCATTAAACTTGTTTTAGCCCAAAGTTTGGAGGGGGCTGCAGAGGTTTGTTTTCTGTTGGGAAACTTTCTTGGGATTTTAACTTGATGCAAGATGCAAAATGACTTCATCAGTGCCACTTCTTCTTACCCTGATGTTTGTGACAGCGGAGAGGCCGTAATGGGGCATCTGTAAGCCTGCGAATGCAGGCTTTGAAAACGAGTCCATTTGGAAAAGCACGATTACATAAGTGTGATTGCTGGAGTTTTTGCTCCCAGAGGAAAGGGCAAATAAGGCTGTGAATGTGGTGATTAGCGTTCGTCCCCTCCACGTGGTGATACGTAAATGTTAAAAGACACCAGAGAATAAACAATGAGGAGTTTGAAAGTGGCGGTTGAAAGCGGCAGCATTGAGTGAGATAGCTGACCTATATAGCCTCGGAACGTTATGCAGGGGAGGAGTGGGGACAGGCTGCAGCAGACTACTTCCTTCGCCAGCGTGTGACTAATGTAAAGCTACATCATGAAACTGAAACCTCTCCGTGAATATCAAACAGATCCACGTGCTGTTTAACGCGTATAGAATTAACTCGCGGTCATTCAAGTTAGCGAGAAAATGCATTTGTCTAAAAGAATTGTTAAATGAATACTTGGGTGTGCGCATTGATATTTGGCCTGGATACTTTCCCACCATCATTATGCAGCATAGAAGATGCCACGCTCTGCCCGTGCAGCCTCGTCTCCTAAGAATGAGGTCGCCACACAACAGAACTGCAAAGTCATTTGCTTTAAGTGAACCATATTTATCTGTTTCTGGACCTTGACGCATGCAGGAGAACACTGTTGCTGAACAATGAACCTTAAGAGTCACGCATGCGCTCTTCCTTCTTCTTGTTGCGCGGCTGCAGACCACCGGGCGCGTCTCCTCACACGGAGCGAGCCTTCCAATCCGAGGTGGAGGACGTTTCGCCATGAAGGCATCACGCATCTTCAAAAGATGCGCGTCTCACCCACTGTAGTTACCATCCGCCCACCTGCAGGCGCCCTGGGGGATTGGCTGGGGTTGCATCAAGTGGCTTCACAGCCACGAAACACTGCCGGTCTTTTCTGATGGAGAACACAGGCCAACGCCGCGCGGCTGAGGGGGCCGAACCGGCGTGGCGCTGGACTGCGTTTCATCATCCCGAGCACGGTTGTTACGGCTCGGCTTAACATCCAACAAACAAAGCTTTGCACGTCACAGCTCCCGATCCTCTGCATGCATGTGGCAAAGTTTACAGTCGCCTTCCTACAGGAGAAGGTTCCTTCACGTGGCTTCATGCCTCTGGGGGATCATGGGTCACCGCGGCGGGAAGGGACACCTCTCTTTTGGAGCCACCCGATTCGATTACCCGAGTCTTTAGATTTGGATTCAATGCAGTAATTGGTCCCGAGTGTGGACTTTCCCCTCACATAAGCTCTCCAACTCAAAGTGAAACCTTCAAACTTTGATTCATCTGCAAAAAAAAAAGGACTTTCTATCGCTTCTCAGCAGTGAAGAAGGGTTTTCTCGTCTGAGGAGCAGTTTGGAGACTCTTCTGTTGAAGATTTGCCAGTATTTCTTCTTCTTCTCCTCCTCCTCATCACCTGGAGTACGAAGCTCTCGGTTCTTTCATAGACTGATCTTTATCCGGGATCCCACTTGATATATTTAAGTATCATACCTTCTCCAATTTAAATTTGAATTTGGCAACCAGAATCTCCGAAAATGGAGTACGAGTGTCGTCCCGGAGTTACTCCACGAGTTCATCATCCTTCAAAGCGGCGCGTTAGACACAAACGTTGCCGATACAC